GAATATTAAGTAGTAGAACAAAAGTTGAAGCGAGGTTTCCTAGAGAACTACAAGTAGGCAGATAGAATCGTTCCGTTTCAACGTTTCCTTGGCATCCCCGATGTTTGATGTGCTCCCAAAATAGATAAAGCCGAAAACATCAATGATCGTACGACATGCAGGCTCGAATCGCTCTGCATCTCACTGACGCAGTCAGTTGTTTATAGTGCTACCGCTTTAGGTTATTAACATCGGGGTCACAGACACGCCGAAGGAGACTGTTTGATACCTGCACCTAAGAGTCAAGTGGCAACCGTTGGGTGAACGCGGACGAAGCGACAATGACCCCCTTTGCCGCCCCAGCCGTTTATGCAACGAATCTATCTAGGTGACTCTCGGGTTGAGCAAGGCCACGGCGTTTCTTTTCAGCACGGCCCGATGGAAATGTGTTATCGTTCATTTTTTATCTAATGCTACGATATCAGCGTCGCATATGGGGTCAACGTTCGAGGCACCACGTGTTTTCTTACGCAACGCATCGAAAACTAACCAATTTGTGCGTCTTTGAGAAAGTTAGATAATGCCAAAGCTCCAGTGAAAGTGAAATCTTATGAGTCGCTGATTTTATCACAAGTTCAATTGATGCACACTTGTTTTTGTTAAAATTGTCTTACAATGTCGAGGAGAATTGAAATGAATACCAGGCCCACGTCGAGCGTTTAGTACTTATCCATCATTCAATTGTCTTCAAATGGCTAATAACTCTATTATAATAATGGCCGAGTCAAACTTCAATTGCTACGTTGATATCGAAGAAATCACCGAGGCATTTCAATTTAATCAGTACTATAGTTTCTTTGACTTAAATAAAATAAGAAACAACTAGCGAACATCGTGTTATAAAAAAGATAGGTACATTCGTTGTTGTAGTCTTTCAATGGCTTTGTTTATTTTATAGAGGTGTAAAAGTAAAACATAAAAGCGATGGATGTTGCTGCATATCTATTTATATCTGGTCCGGCCGTAAACAGCCTGCTATTGGGAACCGGTCAGCCGCGCCGGAGGAATGCCATTCCTCTCGCTTCTTCTTTAAAGAAACTAATTTCAGAACAACGTACATCGCTGAATATGTAACAGGCGAGGAATTCACTTCCATCGCTCTACGTGTGCGCTGAGCAATGTAACAAACTCTATTCGATACGTGAGACGTTAGCGTGCTAACAATGTTTAGCGAATGCTGCCAATAAAATCCATTTTCAGCGCAGGAATTCACTTTGAATTTAGAAATGCAATGATTTAGACGACGTTAGAAACATAATGGCTTTTTTATCATGAATATATTACGGTTAGATATATAATATTCAATCTTAATTGCAAGAAGCACTTTTGAATAAAGTATAAATTGCGGAAAACTTATCTTTTATCGGCATTTAAATTTGGGGTTAGATAAGAGATAATTATTATTTCGTTTCGGTCAAAAGATTCTACGTACATTAATTTATCCTAGTTGAAATAACATCTTTAAAGTGATCAAACACGTGCGTTTGGTAATTTATATCACTACTCAAAGTAACTTGTGTGATTTTACAACACTTATATAAATATATATTTTAAATCCTTAAGAAAGTACTTAAAGTCATTATTGTTTATATACCAACAGTTGTTCCATGCAAAAGGGTGTATAAAAATGGTGTGTATTGAACGCGTTTAGTTCCCGCTCCGTCATTGCTTGATCATCGATCATACTGACATCACTTGTTAATGTTAACAGCTAAACCGACGTGGTACCAGTTACCAATCGAAAACATTTTCACTACAATACAACTGTAGGTACTCGATACATTTCGTGGCAACATTGACGGACACAAAAATGATATTATTTTACAATTAAATTATTAAGATGCTAAAATAGAGATACATCTGTCATGGCCCACTCTGTTGAATGTCTAGATTATTTAATTATTTAGGCTTTTTGAATATTGAATTATGTTACCGGATCTATTTTAATCTACGTACGTATTGATGAATGAAGCGTCTGACGTTATGAAATTGTCACAGCGGCGACCTTACGACGCGCGTGGGCCGAGTCCATGACACAGTTCACGAGATGGGCCAACGGGCACTTATTTCTGTCTCCATACGTAAACCCTTAATTATCGCTGGATTGTACACACACAAATGCAATTATTTGATAGAGAGGTTGCTTTACCCGAATCCCTTTGGGTAGGTACTACAGAAACTATAAAGTATTGCACAATATAACTTTAGGTCGTGATCGATCATGAGATCCATGACTTGCTATTTCGTTCGTGCTCGGTGCTCCATGTTTCGTTTTTTACTTTGGTTGTCGTCGAAGTTTTTGCTGGTTGCAATCTGGTCACGCGGCAAAGAGGCCCAGCCGGTATGGTAGCTTCGATTTATGGTCGTATTTATTCTAAGCCTTTCCTTTTTATCTCTTAAATAAATTAAAAACCAGCATGATTTTCCTAAAACGTTCCCATTATGGAGACACGCGAAGATCGCGTGATATTTAAAAGCAGTTTTAATTATCCCCACCTACCGTGCACATACCGATGTTCTCATTTCATTGAATGACTGTTTTCGACAAATACCGGCCAATGTCACGCTGATACGCTATGGAATCAAACAAACAAATCGTAATCTAATCACGAGCCAGTCGGTGAGATTCGTTGAAAATAAAGAGATTCTTTGTCAGTGTCGATTTTCATTTGACTTATCGCGTCTGATATGCGGTCAACGACTCCAAATCTTCCCGGATTGTACTTAGGTATTATTTCGTATTTAGTTGATAATTCAAAGGCCGTTGGTATGCTAACTTCGCTCATCAGGCGACACATCGGTTGTTATTTCAGAGAATACTCTCGACCTACTTACACCAAACTGTTTTCCTCGTTGAGGTTAAACGTGTCCTATCGTGTGTTAATGACCTAAAAATACGTCGTTTTAAGCACGACTTGTATTCAATTGTGAGGAAATATGCAATAGAGACACACTATCGACGGGGCACTCGAGTGAGAGTGTGTTAAGCAGAACATGAGATCTATTTTCTTGTGGTTTTGGCTGAGTATCGACCCCGCCGAGTGTCTTAATTAATAAAAATTAACATTTATCAGACAAACAAAGAGTCGTTGACCTAATTGGTGAGCTAGTCTTAATTAGCCCTTTATGACGATTCTACGATAAGACGTTTACGTCATGTGAACGCGCCTTGACCTACTTTACCATAAGCTGTCTATTTCATGGAACGAGGTTAATAAACAAACGTTGCGGTTATGAATAATTTTAAATCTTAGGTGATAAAAGGGTTTATAGGGTGCCCCTGAGAGGCAAGGCTACAAGTCATGATTTTACGCCATTAAAATAGTTCAAAAGTCACTGCTTTTTCGTACCAAAACCGTCGTTAATTTACAAGTTATAAAAAAGGCAGCTGTTTCTCTGAAGTTTCATGTTCGTTAAACATTGCGGCATCAATTCTAATTATACCTCCCTTCGTCTATTTACTTAACGTACCCATGTTTACTCGAAAAGACTGTGGTACGTAGTAACGTGGGTGCCGGCTGTACTAAATTGGGGAACAGACAGAGACAAAATACGGTGCAACTATTTAACGCGATGGGGATTGAGAGGCTTGACGTAATCCAAGTGCCGTCGGTGCAATTTATACTCAAAGGCCGACTCTTTCGTATATAGTATCGTTTGCCTATATTTGGCAGTGTTTATCCATCCCGGATGCGTTGCAGTCCGGATGGACGAGCCGGCGGATATAAACACTTCCACGTGTTAGGCGTCTGTAATGGCGTCTTATTAGGGCCGCCCTCGCTCTGCATCCCCGTTTCCTGGTTCTAATTTTAACACTGAACATATTTTGTTACACGCTGCAATAGAATCCAGCGAGGGAACGAAAACATAACGAGCTAAGTTTCCACATTAGCGTGTGACGTGAAAATGGCGATTTTCACCGCGCGATTTCTATTTCAATCCGTTTTCCCGACGCGTGGAGAAACCGATCGCTCTACTTGCGCCGGCACCGGCCCACATCTCTCGCTAGAAAGTATCGTAGAAAGTAACATTATAAGTCGATCTCCGCCCGAGCGATGCATCATCACGTGTGTATTTTTTATGATCACTTTTCGTGACGATCATTAACTATCTCTAATTGTTTATCAGCACTTCCATTTAGCGCTTGCGCTAGGAAATGGTGAACAGTGAGTTGGTACGAGTCAGTCGCGTAACGTTTACTTTCGCCAAATTTCAATGACGTATGTGAGTAGGCTCGCCTTGTGCAATACCTAAGTTTGGGTAACTTTCACTGGCTAGTGTGCGCTTACGCGTTTCGCCTGCGAAGTGATTGCGTCGCCCGATTCTCCAGGTCACAGAGAAAGTTGAGTATTGTTCAATCGGTGGCACTTAGCAGAATTAAAGTTTCTTTTAAATGTGTCATCGCGCGCTTGAAAAATTTACCATTTTCGGGTCTCTGTTTTAAACACACCTACATTGTTTTAACCTAACGGTTCAACTTTAAAGTTCATTTACCATTTTACTTTAGCTGAATCTTTCTCACGAGGTAATTAAAAATAAAATTATAATAATATCGTGTCAGTAATAGCTAAATAACAGGAACTATTTAAGTGTCGACATGTTGCTATAATTGTATACATAATAATTTGGGCCTGTTTAATTGAATGAAATATGTAAATTCAGGTAATTTGCATTTTATCATATTACGCATGACAAAATAAGAATGCTGTTTTTAAACCGACAAAACATTTCCTGAAAAACGGTTTTACATTTATTTATTGAAATGTTAAGCTATTCGCTGTTAAAATATTAGCTTTAAAAACCCACAAATAAATGGTTCATTTGCCGACCAATTACAATACACAAGCGCCATTGTCGGCTGAAGAAAATCTCGCGTAATACATTAAAAGTGACGGCTTTACCATGTTAGGCATTAGATGAGACCTAAAAGATGAAAAAGTCGAATCGCGTGAGAGGAAAATCTAGTTATTATTAGCTGTTGGGAATCGCGAGCTTCGAGCTCTGATGGTATCATAAATAAGAAGGCGAGCGTAGCTAGAAGCGGTACGGGGAAGGGGGTAGAGGGGCAACGTAAGAGTCAAGGCCGCACGCTGCCCCCGGTCGACGTTCGCGCCCCACTTGTCTCTCGTCGCGTCATCTCGCTCTAGTGCCCGAGCAGAGCGACTCGGTCGGACACCACCGAATGTGCACGAACTAGACCTTAGATGCGCCGGCGCACACTGATGACTGAACAGCTGGGACGTAATAACATAACACACTGACTCGGTCATCCGTGCATTCAACTTTTGATTGGCTTTCTTTTTCAAGAACAACCTCTGATTGCTAAATCGTTCTTTTAAGTCACTAAATCAACACAGATTGTGTACGAGGCCAGAATATGTATTACTTATTCATTTGCGATCTATCTGAGTATAAATCTTCTTTATTCATTTTCAAAATTGTCCACTGTTATTTGAAATATTAAAGCACAGATGATATTTTTACAGAAACAGCATAAACCTTGTTTTTTTTTAATTTACCACATATTGTGAAAATTGCAACACTTTCAATGTAAGCTACTACTTTTGTGCTTTACGTAATTTTAAACTTGATTGACTTTTACCTTCACGATAATTACTATGCTTAACCTCATTTCATTAAGAGCTAGGAGAAGTAAATTAAATAACAGTTGTTCACCTTCACAAATTAAATCTTTGCTCGTCAGCATTAAGGTTTCGTTTCGGAAGGTCGTACCATCGGCATAATTAGTTTCCTAGTCGGCAATTACTTTTCGATACGGACCTAAAAGAAATTCTTAAGATTTTGACGGACTTGCAAACAGACGAACTTTTGAACATTTCAAACTTCAAACTGTGCCAATATTATGTGTGCGACGCTAGTCGTTGATTCGATTGCGAAAAATAAACTCGCTTAGAATAGTTGTTTATTTTTGTGAAAGGCGAGCAAAGCGTTCTGTTATATGAGTGGCCTCAGCTTTCGTTACCACGTGGGTCAGTCGAACTAGTTTTTTGGCAGCAGTATTTCGGTCGGTTGCGCAACTCGGGTACTCGCTAAGGCCACCGACCCGACTCGTAAATAACCGCACTCAAAATCCATAGAAATGATTAACATGCAATTCCTCTTCATCCATGTGTACAATACCAACAGTCGAAAACTTAGAGTCGATCAAGATAAATTATATTTAGATAAGATAAATCTTCACAAAATATTAAATAGCCGAACAAAACATGCTTAAAAGTAAAAACACAATAACTTATTAGCCATAGCCAATATAAAACTGATTCGACTTGTGTTCACAACGGACCGAGACGTGTGGTGCTTTGATTAGATGACGATCACGCATTCGTTGAGTATTTACACCCAGCATAACATCGTGGCTACGTCATTAGTATGCCGACCGTAGCTCTAACCACCTTTTGTTGGGACAGGAAGCGTCCACCACCGAAAATTAGGTACACGACGATGTTAGCTCGAAAACGTCTATTGGAAGACGCACGGGAGAGTCTTCAATTATTGAAGTGAAACTTCTTGAGGCGCATGTGGGTAAATGTTTACGGAATCGTCACGAAGATGAGCAGCGTTTTTGTCGAAGAAAAGGGAGAGAGCGATTGAGACCGATTGAGAGAGAGTGAAAAGGGCGAATTACCTTATAGAAATTCTATTTTTAAAATTAAAATTTCGTAAAGAGAATTTATGAAACATTAGTATTTTATATCTTCCTTTTTCTCTCTCTTAGTCTCGGAAATCTAAAGTTTTAGATATGTATAAATTTGAACAAGAGTTAAAAATTCGTTTGCCAAAGAAGTGAGAAGACATGTGTACTTTATACGCACGCACTTTTTTTTATTAAAAAGGGGGCTTTTAATATAAGTTTTAAAGTAGGATTATGTTTAATTAAATTTTAACCAGGTTACTTAATAAAATTTTAAGTACATTTCATCTCGTAGTAATGGTCATTTTTGTCTATTCCAGGCAGGGAGGAACTGTCACCGGCGTCGAGCATAAATGGCTGCAGCACGGATGGCGATGCACGAAGACAGAAGAAAGGTCCGGCGCCGCGGCAGCAGGAGGAGCTGTGCCTCGTCTGTGGTGACAGAGCCTCTGGGTATCATTACAATGCACTCACGTGCGAAGGCTGTAAAGGTAACTGGAAACCTTACCTGCATCGTTTTGTTTACGGGGTAACCTCGTGACCAAATACTCTGTATTCGTATGAAGCATTGTGCTGGCGATTCGGTTGACAATGTGCACGCACTTTAGCCCAGTCGGACGTAACGTCACAATAGCCGTCTGTAGCCCGTCTACTGCTCTGAATCATTTGTTATTCAGAGCTTAATGTGTTTCATTTAAAAATCATAAATGCATTTTAATTGAAGCAATTTGTTTGTCTGAATTAAAACTAATAAAGAACCACAGTACCGTGAAATAAATTTCTCTGAAGCTCGTAAATAACTATAAAAAGTATTAAAAAAGACGTTATCTATTTAATATTGTGTTTGTTTACTGCGTTCTATTCAGCTGTCATTGACCAATGCCTTTCAGACAACCTTTGCTGATAAAATTATGCACATTTCGTACTATGCCTTCATAGCCATGGAGAGATTACCCAATCATGTCTCACTTTTGTCATATTCATGATATATTTATCTTTTATATTTTAATTTCTTTACATAAATGAGAGATTCTATTGAAATAGAATTTAACCGACCCTACTGAATAACAAAAGTAATTATAATTGTAAAATAGGAAAACGGCGGTTGTTAATCAAGAGCTTAAACTGTATTCGAGAATGGTTTATAAAAAATGCATTTGACCGTCTGATGCATCGAATCGGTGCCTTATTTAGAACTGAACTTTGGTTTTGCCGTGCTGCAGCCATTGGTTCACAATAAAATAACCGAATAAGATAAGAAAAAGATGTAATTGACAACTTCAAACAATATTTAAATATATTTTTCTGATTTTAGGCTTTTTCCGACGGAGTGTTACCAAAAATGCAGTTTACATTTGCAAGTTTGGTCACGCCTGTGAAATGGATATGTACATGCGAAGAAAATGCCAAGAATGCCGATTAAAGAAGTGCCTAGCGGTGGGCATGAGGCCCGAGTGTGTGGTCCCGGAGCCCCAATGCGCATTGAAAAGAAAGGAAAAGAAAGCACAGAGAGAAAAGGACAAATTACCAGTTAGCACAACCACAGTAGATGATCACATGCCACCCATTATGCAGTGTGATCCTCCTCCGCCTGATGCAGCCAGGATCGTAAGTATCTCCTTACCCGATAGAGTTCCTATCTATATATGCTTTTTCCTGTTTAATGGTTATAATTTGTTCCTATTGTATATTTTCAACCTGAGTCAACTTAGTACATTGGTACATGTACATGCCAAGAAACATGTATGGTGTATGAGGTGGGTGATCACACATATTTTGCCGAAATTATGTTGTTTTTGGAGTTGCGAACCTAGAACCTCCGTCGCCGCTTTATATAGCAAAGACCTTTGTTGAGCCATGGCAGCGAGATATTAACATATTTCGTTTCCTATGTGAAGCTGGAATGTTTGCAGCACGAAGTGGTCCCGCGGTTCCTATCTGAGAAACTCCTGGAACAGAACAGGTTGAAGAATATTCCGCCTCTTTCGCCCAACCAGCAGTTCTTGATCGCCAGGCTCGTCTGGTACCAAGATGGGTACGAGCAGCCTTCGGAGGAGGATCTCAAAAGAGTCACACAGGTAAGCTTTAGCTTAGGAGAGATGTCGTCGTATGTGTCTTTTTATGGAGTCACCTTCTTAAATCACCTACCTTTATTACCGGTAGGTACTACCGTTGATACACAATACAACAATCTAAGTAATTGTATTAATAAGGAGTTCAACACCATCTTTACCCCAAAGAAAGTCTCTCATTCGCAGTGTAAATCGTTTAGTGATTGGGGGACAGCGGGAATTTATAAAAGTAGACAACGGTTGTATGACCTTTACGCTGAAAAGTCATACAATCATAATGAAGAATTTATTCTTTATGTTCGAAATTATTTAAGAAAGTTTGTTACGCGGCCAAGTCCTTAAATATCAAAAACAATATTAAAAATAGTACCAACAAAACTAAAATGACTTGGAAGATAATTGATAGTGAAACTGGAAGAGTCAGGGATCGCAATCAAGACTAAACTATGTGTTGATAACACTATAATCAAATCGAACGAAGAGATAGCGATTGTTTTTGATAAGTACTTTTCTGACATTCCAATTTCGACTACTAAGTCTCTTCAATCATCTCCCGCCCTCGCTGAATCGCTGCTCAAAGATAATGTAAACGAGTGCAAGGTCAGTTTTAAATTCCGACCCATTGGTGCCGACGATATAGTTAGGATATTTAGAACCATAGACATTAAGAACACTACCGATCTTTGGGGTATTTCTGTAAAAATAATTAGTAGCATAATTAATCGATGTAATTGCTCCCCATCTAGCTATAATTTGCAACAATTGTATTAAAAGTGGCGAGTTTCCCGATCTAATGAAACATAGTAAAGTTATTCCATTATTTAAAGCAGGTAGTATGTCCGACCCCTGTAACTTTAAACCAATTTCCGTACTACCTACTTGTAGTAAAATATTTGAAAAAGCTATATTAAATCAACTGGTAAGTCATTTTAACGTAAACAAATTATTACATAATAATCAGTTCGGTTTTACCAAGGGTCGCTCGACAGCCGATGCCGGTGTTGAGTTATATAGATATATAGTTAAGGCTTGGGAGGAGTCGCATGACGCTTTAGGTTTTTCTGCGACTTATCCAAAGCATTTGATTGTGTCCAACACGGGACCTTAATCGGGAAACTCCGCCACTATGGCATCAAGAATACCGCACTGAATCTTCTGACTTCCTATTTACACGGAAGAACTCAGAAGGTTGAAGTGAATGGTAAGAGGTCCTCTGGGTCGGCAGTAGATATGGGGGGTACCACAGGGCTCAATTCTTGGCCCTTTCCTCTTTCTTGTTTATATAAATGATCTACCTTTCATGGTAGAGAGAAAACATCAGATAGTTTTGTTTGCTGATGACACGTCCTTGATTTTTAAAATCAAACGACAAGTAACAAATTTTGACGATGTGAACAATGCTCTATCTTCGATTGTCCATTGGTTTAGTATGAATAACCTTCTACTTAATCCAAAAAAAGACAAAATGCATTAAATTTTGTGCAAAAAATGCGAGGGTTATGGATACTAGACCAATTATAAACGGTGAAGTATTGAATCTGGATGATACAACTGTATTTCTCGGAATCACCATGGATTCAAAACTTCAGTGGTCCCCTCATATTAACGGATTGGCGAAGAGACTTACTTCTGCAGCCTACGCGGTTAAAAAAATTCGCTCACTAAGTGATGTCGATACAGCTAGACTTGTTTATTTTAGTTACTTTCATAGCTTATTATTATGGGGTTATGCTGCTGATGTCGAAACTATTTTCATCCTGCAGAAGAGGGCTATTCGTGCAATCTATAATTTAAAATGTGTACCTTTCCCTCGCAATATATTTATGAAAATATTATGTATGTATACAAAAATAGTGATAAGTTTACTAGAATAGAACATACGCACAATGTTAATACACGGAACAAACGCAGGCTGCAATTTCCCCGTACTAGACTATCTAAAGTTAGTAATTCTTTTTTGGGAAAAGGGATACTCTTCTTTAATAAAATCCCAGAGGCACTTTTATCTCTAAAAGGCTTACTATAAAGTCAACGATTATCTAGTTGATAAAAGGGCCTGGGACTAGTGCTAGACAGGCTACTTCTAATTAATTTGCGATATTTGTTTTTAAATAAGTGTTGTTTGATGATTTGCTATTTTAAAAGAGTACCGAGAGTTTTTTACGCCGGCTTTTTCTCTCGGCCTACACCCTCTGTCTTCTTTGCCGATGAGTAGGGATGCCTACAAATTCAAATTTAATGACGTGGAATAAGTGATACATGTACCTTATGTTCCATAATAAAATTATTTTCAATTAGTTTGACAGTCCGGCTCACAATTTCACCTTATTAACTATTCTTAATGTCGTGTACATTAAACGCAAGATTAAATAGATTTTAATGAGCCATTACCGACTACAGTGCAGTAGATATTTGTGTTCCAACTTTCAAGAATCGTATTAATTTTTCAGACTTGGCAACACGGCGAGGAGGACGACGGAGACACAGACTTGGCCTTCCGTCAGATCACAGAGATGACCATTCTGACGGTGCAGCTCATAGTGGAGTTCGCCAAAGGTCTACCCGGCTTCGGGAAAATCTCGCAACCAGATCAAATCACTCTGCTAAAGGTAGAAAGTCTAAATAGAATTCACGACATTATTGACCATCGCGCCCCTCCTTCGACTTTAACACATGTTCGTTTGCGACAGGCGTGTTCGAGTGAAGTGATGATGCTGCGCGTCGCTCGGCGGTATGACGCCAGCACGGACAGCATTTTGTTCGCGAACAACGAGGCATACACTCGCGACAACTATCGCAAAGCGGGCATGAGCTACGTCATAGAGGATCTGCTGCACTTCTGTCGCTGCATGTACGCCCTGTCGCTGGACAACGTGCACTACGCGCTGCTCACGGCCGTCATCATATTCTCGGGTGAGTCTTCTTCGAAGGGTCTCCCCTTACTGCGATTGCCTCGAAACGATCTCTCTTCTGACTCTCACGTCGACGTTTCAGATCGGCCGGGGCTCGAACAGCCCAACCTGGTGGAGGAGATCCAGAGGTACTACCTGACCACTCTGCGGATGTACATCGTCAACCAGCTCAGCGCGTCTTCGCGCTGCTCCGTGCTGTTCGGAAAAATCCTGTCCATTCTTTCGGAAGTGCGCACGTTGGGCATGCAGAATTCCAACATGTGCATATCCTTGAAGCTGAAGAATCGGAAGCTGCCTCCCTTCCTGGAGGAGATCTGGGACGTGGCGGACGTGACGTCGCAGCCTCCGGCGCTGCTGGACAACGCGACCGAGCTCTAGCCCCCAGGGCCGCGGGGGCCCGAGGGGCCAAAGGGGCCGCGGGGGCCGAGGAGAGAGCGCTCACAGACTGGCTAGGTTAAGTGGAGTGACTTTACGTGCTGTTGGACGTTCGGAGTCTATTGGCGTCGTTCCGCGACCGGACTCGACGCGATCGTGAGAGTTTTATCTGATATATAGAGTTCTATTCGAAAGAGTTGATAGTTGTGTTTGTTTACCGAAATTCACCTTTTCGATTGTATATTGGTATATTCGCTCGGCGGACTTTGTTGATCTTTACTGACCGTTTGTTTCTATATAGTTTATGTCCCGCGTTACGTCCCTTCTCCTGCGCCCGTGTCCCGATTTTTTTATTATCGCTGTGATTACTTTAGAGTTCGAGTGTGTCTCGATGCAGACAGTTTTGCTAAATCCCTCTGCATCTCGGAGGAACATCGCCCGGGGTGACCCCGACGTAGGTCGCGGCCCCGTCGATGGATCTCTCCCGTCGTGGAAGCGGCCGATCGAAAGGACTACGCATGAGTCAGAATCAGATATCTTAAAATTTTAATGGCCAAATTAAACTGGTCACCAATTTGATTTGGGCATTTCACGACATGATCGGCCACGTCGCGAAGCAATCGAGCTACGATCGGGTCGGAAATTTCCACTTGAAACGTAAGAATCGCTTATCAAATTCGAGCGAAGTCGCTCACCTCTTCATAAGTTAAATAAGGTTTGTGGGTGAAACGTTTTCTAATTAGTTTCCATCGTTCGCTTACTGCACTTCGGGACGCCGGAACCGCTGCAAACGAAGGAACCGAACGCCAAACCGTCGATTTAAGGGCCCGTTTCCTTTTGCGCAGGCGTTTTCTCGCATCTGACACTCGTTTAAGAGAAATCAAAATCTTTTTGTGATGTTTTCGTGGCAAAAGTATTTCACACGGAGGAGGCTTTTGCTGATCGGGCGAAGAAAGACAAATTCGTAGATTAATCAATATTGTGTGCATCTTCTCATTATTGCTCATTATTGTTTATTATTGTGCGGCAGCTGTTGAGACTGAAAGAGTTCTGTTAAATGTGACTAATACGTTACGCAGAGTTTTTAAATGTGTTATCTGATATAACTTGTAATTGGCAGCTGATTAGAGTTACTGGAGCGGTAATCGCAAAAGATGCACACGATACGAGACAATTACAATAATTAACTGCCATTTGAACCACACACGGAATGCCTTATTTCACGTTACCTGTACTCTAGTACCTTCATTGTTGAGAATGGATATCATAGTATATAGAACATAATTAGTCGATCTCAATTACCCGTAAGCGCAGCATCCCTGACGCTTAAGCACCGTCAAGGCGTGTTTGAGGTTTTGGAGATGCATTTCTCGTATACGCGCGAATCCGCGTGTCACGATCGAGCTAGCACCGCGGGCCGCGCGCTAGTCGCTCGACGACATCTTTTCGACTCGTGTTTATAATTAAGTCGTAGAGGTAGACGACCCATAGTAGTAATCGAAGCACAAACGCCACGGAGCGCCTCGGACGGGCCTCGGGGCGTATACGACACACTGCCATTTTACGTACGTATACGTAACACGGTGCGAGCGAGCGAGTGGGCCTTCGCGGTAACATTCGCCGCGATCCATGCCTTAGACTCGGAGCGAGTCGAGACAACCAAAACTGCCATTCGGTTAGCGGTCGACGGACTCCGTCGGTGCGCAGCCGGTCGTGTTTGATACGTATTATTCGATTTTGAAATTGTAATAGATTTATTAAGTGTAAAAGTCTCGTCGGAGATGAGTGCCGTAATATAATTTGTGTCTTAGCCGTTAACATAAGCCGAGTTAGTATCGCCGAGGGCCGTCGAAGACGGCACCGGAGCGCCGGGTGGGGCTCGGGACGGACGGGACGGGTGGGACGGGACCGTCGAGACGGCCTTCCGTCGACGTCGGCCCTCCTTCGACGTGGAGTATTCGAGGGAGCGAGGGTCTCGACCGCGTGTCCATTTTTACTGTATATAGGTACCTCTAGATTTTATGGTCGTATGTTTGACATATGTTTAATTTTATTCATCTAATAAAGTACAGATGGCTGTTGTTATTTTTATATTATTTGGGTAGAATATATTTTTTGTAAATGACCTCTGTATTTATCTTTTGTAAGCTTTGTGAGGCGCGAGAGCGCAGAAGAGTATTTCGTACCGATGTTTGACGATGCTTTGTTTCTTCAGAGTGCAATATGTACAAATGATTACGTAGAAATACGATGTACAGTCAACTTTAGTTTTAAAGGCGCAATTCGATTCGCTCTCGGGTGCGTCGTACACTGGAAGCATAATAGGCCCTATCACACTACGTGTTTTCTTATACTTAAGCGATTAATTTTACATAGTCGGACTAGGTGATCTTCGTATTTGAATTTGCTGATTTTTGTAGCAGATTGGACTCGTCCACTCGACGAGACAAGTGATGTACATTTTGAATTGATTTCAAGTGATTAAGTTATTATTTTAGAAATGAATTTTACTTATTGATAATTCTAACTGGCAGCCTCGCGGCCAGTCCGCTGATACCAGTGTCATCGTGCAATGTCCATTAGAGAAATAAACAATATTGAAGTGTAACTCCTCGCACTCTCGCGCAGCCTCTGCCGCGTCAGATGTCACCGGCAGGCTGACACGAGAGATAGGATCCCATTCCGTGTTCTTGCATATTGTTTCGTTTTCTATGTAACTTTTATTTCATCCTAACTCTACGCCTTAGTGAACCCCTACTTTATAATTTAACTGCAGCGGTGAGGAGAATTAGTTATAGGGAACAGACATGACGAATGTGTTGAAGTTTTAGAGAGACAACTTTTATAAAAGATACTATCTACAAAACAAATGATTAAAAGGTGTACAAAACGAGGAAATTTGTATGAAACATTGTTATGCGAATAAACTTACACCTCAACATAAAATATCAATGTCTTTTATTTAACCTTAACTTTCCAATCACAATCCCTGACCTTTCAATCTTTTCATTTAATTTATTTAATAGCTTAATTCGGCAACGATCATTATCACATCGCGCCATCCGCCTTGGAATATTATGCTGGGGGAGGTTGGCTCCAGTGCTTGCAGAGATGCATCAGCATTCTTCTTTTAGACGCGTGGACCTCTGATTCCCCTTTAGGCGAAAAAATGAAAGGCGCCCACACTTGGCAGCGTTTCCAATGCGCTGCAGGATCGATCTTTTCTGACCCTTTCCTATTCATGAACACAAAAATCTTCCACCGGCCCTTATCTTATCCCTTATTCCCTTACCTGAAGTATGTCCAACAGAGGCCTTCGTCAATGCTTTCAATCTTCGAAACTAATCTATTATATGTACCTTTAACGTCTCTGGTCAATGACCCCACAATGAATTGTATGCAAAGTTCACAATCTGAGCTTTGCCAAAGTTATTAGCTACACGTACGTATATTTTTTACGTAAACTTATTCTATAGAGTACAGAAGCGATAATGTCAAACATTACATTTTCCTGTTTATTATGTGGAGTCTGTAGAGGCCATTTTCTCAACGCAGTCTATATTACATATATACTCTTTTATAACAGTAAGATATATGTTTTACGTACGTTGACTAACCACATCCGTATATATATCTCATTGTTGTGTCGTGAGTTGACTTCTGTACACGTGTTGTGGATACAGCAAAGATGTTTTTAATAAAGTTTTCCTTTTTGTTAATTAGTGCAAACGTGGTAATTACTTGTAAGTATTCTAATAATATACCTTTGTTAAAAACACGATGATGTTTTTAATGGCGAAGGCTGTATCGCGTTTTATTAAAGGCGTTTGAACTTTCAAACCAAAACCTGATAAAAGAAGCGAGTTCAGACGCGCAATTAATTTTCCCACATAGTGTTTTTGTATAAGTACCTACTTTAAAATACAATAATTAAATTTGAATTGCTTTAAGTTGGAGAACAATCGCAAAAGTTTTTCCGTTCCGACTACGAGAAATACTTGCCAGAAACTGACAGTTTTTATAAAGTTCACGGTCTGCCAAAAACTTTCGATAGAGCGAAGGAGACTTGTGAAATAGAAGGAGCTGAATTATTTTATCCAGTAGATGAAGATGAGGCTAAGGCTATGATTACATATTGGAAAGAAAAACAATTTTTTTCCTCAATTTATATCGGTGTTTCGGCACCTTTTGTGCCTGAAGTATATCAAACTATTCACGGTGAGTTCTCCGCCAACAATTTCTACAACATAATGTGCTTTAGATTGCGAATTAAGTATATTCCTTATAACAAGAATTAATATTTTGATACCAAAGTAAAAACAATATTTTTATATGATAATGTATAGATACTATAATAGCTCAGTAATGAATAAAAGTTTTTATAACTCAAGGTGAGATACAAAAAATTAATTTAGTTAAATATTGGCTAATGCCTTCACGAAGATTTTGATATAAACCTGTTTGAAAGGTCAAATACTGTAGTATATTCGTAATAGGAAGAAAATGTCATTTTGCAGACCATCACTAGATTGCGCCACTTAATAATTAAAAGGATAGCAATACTAAAATTTGATTTTAATTCATTGTGTGTTTAAACTGACCCACGATATATCTTCTATTTGTTACCGTTATTTTAGTATTGGATATCGGTGACTGTATTTTTTAAAATTAACAGATACGTAACACATAATAATTAGCCTAAATATTTTATTAACTTTTACTTAAATACCTACAGATGAATATGATTTTCATTCGAGTGGTGTAAAAGTGGTAAATTACCGATCAACAATTATATTTCACTGAAATCATGAAAAAAGTTTTATTTATTTTCTAAATGTCATAAACATTGAAGAAAAACAGGACGCATAAACACTAAATTAACAGCATTTTCAATTGTGTTCATAAATAATACAAATTTTTTTTATTTTTCATGTTAGACTGTTTTCGACTGTAATTATTGTTCTAAGATTTCAATTTCATTTGTCATTAAAACGGAAGATGAAGATCCTAATTTTTGGAAGTCACAATAATCAAGTTCATCGATTATATTATCTAAAGATATTTCCTTTATTTGGCTGACATCCAATTTAATTTAACTCTTCGATTACTTATTAACTCTATCAATCAGGTGCTTCAATAGACACCGTGTACAATAAATGGGCCAAAGGTGAACCAAATAATCATGCAGGCAACGAGCATTGTCTGACTTTGCTAGACGACACCACCCTGAACGATATAAACTGTGATACTACCAAAAGCTTTATTTGTAAGAAGAGAGCCAGCGCGATTCATTGGAACCTGCTATGTGATTTACCCGATAAACGTAAGTTTTTACTCTCTTTAGTCGAAATCCGCATAGTCGTATAGCCCAGATATATACATATATATAGGTAGATGGGGTATTTGCCTTCGAAAGCAATTTTCTTTCCTGGTATATCTTTCAGGCCGCTTGTTAAACGGCGCCGTTTAGTTAAAAGGCTAGGCTGTTAATGTAACGGCTAATTTAGCTAGTTGACTGCGACAGATCCTACAGGTTGACTAAAATATACATGTGCCGAAATGATTCCTCCAAATCGATAGTTCCGTTTCCTTTAAACTCATGCGAGCAATTCAGAGGCGTATTTAAAAAGATGTAACGAAGGGGATGTATGTAAGATAAATGATGGTTAAATTTTACTGTCCAGGTTACGAATATGTGGAACAATTAGGTAGATGTTACAAGTTTCACACAAATCCAAGAAACTGGACGGAGGCTTTCCGAGCTTGCAATGCCGAGCAGGGGTACTTGGCTATTATCGACAGTCAGGGAGAAGCGGACCACCTCGTGAACGTCACAAAGATGGCGAAAAAAGATGACGTGGAGGGCAACTATCTTCGAGGTGCCATTCATTTAGGATTTGTTAAGAAGAATTCAATGTGGCGTTCTATTATGGGTATGTTTTTTAGAGGTTTAATTAAAATATTCATCATGTAATCGGTAATCTCAGAACAATACGCTACGAGCAATATACCTAGGTAACACTGAAAATGTTTAGAAAATGAAAAACGGAAACGAAAGTTGCCAATACTTTTTTTTTCGAAGTAATCTCCGTTCCTCTCTACATATCGTCGAACCACTGAAAAACAGTGGGCCCATTCTTCCTTAGGGGTCTCTTCTATGGCATTTTCGTCCGCTTTCACCGCATCTTCAGGGCTCGTAAAGCGAATACCTCGAATTTTATCTTTAGTTCTTGAGAATAAATGAAAGTCGCAGGGCGCCAGGTCAGGACTGTATGGCGGATGACTCATTATCTCGACACCTGCCATACTCAAATATTCAACAGACCGTTTTGCAGAGTGCGCCGGCTGTCGTGGTAAAGGAGGATCCTGCTTCGAGGGCGCTGCTGTCGAATTTTTTCCAAGATAACAGGCAAACAGCGATTGACATACCAGTCTGTAGTAACTGTCCTTCTATCTTCTAGCAAAACTGCTGAGAAATGACCTTTCCGACCAAAGAATGAGGCAATCATCTTTTTTCCTTGACTTCTTCCTTTCTTTACCTTAGTTGGCCGATCCTCGAAAGGAAACACCCACTGAGCTGATTGTCTTATGGTTTCGAATTCGTCGATCTCAAAATACAGCATTTAAATCACTGCCGTTGAATTTGTCAAACATTTGGCGACACCAGTCCATGCAAGGGTGTTTCTGGTCGTCGGTTAATGTATGGGGAATCCATCTGGCTTCCTGACGCCTAAATGTTCGTGTAATATTTTTTGAACTTGACTCATACCCAATGCCTAGGCTTGCCCGTATCTGCTGATAGGTCACTCTCTTATCTTCCTCTATCATGCGTCGCACAGCACTGATGTTATCTTCAGTAGTCGCTGTTAAATGACGTCCCTCACGCGGATCATCATTGAGATTGCTACGTCCACGCTACCAACCTACGTCCACAACTACCACAACTGGTAAACTCGTTAAACCAATTGTACACAGTGGCACGAGATGGGGCTTCATAAAGAAATGCTAATCGCAGTCTATCATAGCTTTGTTGTTGAGTAAGCCCATAACGAAAGTCATAATAAATCATTGACCGAAAATTTTCTCGCGTTAGGTTCATTTTCACGTGTAATAAGAGTTTTAGATTTGCCGCCAATTCACAAAAACAAATGACAAATGAATGTAATATACTACATAAGGTTACCAAAGAGTTCTAAATCGAAATTCAAAAAGTTTTCATTAGCATTGTTTTTAACTGGCCAGTTCTAAATATTTTCAGTGTTACCCACGTATAGGTGTTCTCCACAAACAGTCGGTCAGTCAAAGAATTATTTCCAGGTCGGCCACTCAAATCCCTCGGCTACAAGACGTGGGGCACAAACCAACCAGACGGAGGAGATAGAGAGAACTGCGGCTCCATGTTCTTCAATGGCAAACTCAACGACATCGGATGCAATCAACAATGCTTTTTTATATGCGAAAGGGAGATACCGCTATTAGAAAACTCTATTAACTTAAGGTTTGGTGATTACGATGATGTACAGTAATTATTAGTAAATTACTTATTTGGATTACAGTTTTCAGTATATCAGCGGTCAAAGTTCGCTTCTATTTTAAAACGTGTCAAGAACGTAAAAGATAATTAATAATACATAATTCTTTTGATAAAGAGACTCTTACACTTTTTCGTATTTTATCAACCAACCAAATGATGAATTGTATGAAACCAAAAATATACTTGTTTCTTAAATAGTTGTAATAAACAATAAATGGCTCTTTATCTAAGAATTAAGAAATGTGAAAGGAAATGTTTATTTCGTACAGTGACTTTCATTTCTTAACACATATTTTGTGGCGGGTTTGACCGGCATGTAAGAGCAGAAAGAAAAATAATTTGCAACGCCATCATGGACTTGTTAGAGTTAAATGTTGGCCCAAAGACGCTGTTTATCGAATGAATAGTTAAAATAAATGTATAAAAACACCAAATATATATTTATTAATAAAACTTTTAATAACCCTCGAAAATTCAAAATTGAAACCTACCAGAAAAGCACTATGAACTTTAGTGTAGATACAAAAAGTTACTCGAATCGAGTAATCAATCACTATAATATATAGCACATTACCCTTTCACTGATAAGTGATAACCTCTGTTCAGAATAGTAGAAAGGTATACTTAACAAGCACATTAAGACAACTTCGACACAACGTGTTTATGTCTGTGTGTCTTACATTTCAATTTGAATTGTTATTTTTTTGAAGAATAACTTTTTTTATTTTTTATTGGACAATTCATACCAATTGACCTAGTCCCAAGCTAAGCTGGTGAAGCTTGTGTTATGGGTACTAGGCCACGGATATACATACATATTATAGATAGATAGACATATAAATACATATTTTTAACACCCAAGACCTAAGCACAACCAAACCAAAACCAAATGCTCATCACATCAATGTTTGTCTCAGCCGGGGATCGAACCCGAGACCCATGGATTCGCAGTCAGGGGTACTAACCACTAGACCAATGACCCGTCTAAATTCTATTATTCATAAGGAATTTTAATTAACGAAACTAAGGAAAAGCATGTAAATTCTGGGTTGTCTACATGATTATTTCAACCTTCGACAACTCTAGCTCGATCGAAAATTCGATTTTACGTGTGTTTCATGCAATATACTCGTATGTAGATTGAAAAATAAACATCCTATTGAAATCTTTGATCCAAGGGCGAGTGTCACTTAATATCATGTGAGGTTCCAGCTCGTTTGCCCCCGGATTTCTAAAAAATCCTCCCTTTGTCACCCTACTTATTCTAGAAAAATGCATGGCATTAATTTCTCATAAATAACAAGAGAAATTTTGTTTTAGGAAATGATTGGTGGCGGGGCTTCTTAAATTCCTATATATTAGAGCAAGGACATACCAATGATGTAACAAAAGGCTGTGTTTGTATGTTTGTTTTAGAGACATTGTTAAATCAAATCTTGTAATGTATTATTTATTATTAGTCATTATTATCTAAGAAGTATGACTATGAATTATGACCATATAATATATTTTTAAAGGATTGGGGTTAGACTTAGCGCTAATATCGACTAAGTTTCTCTTTTATTGCGATGGGACTGGATGACCGACTACGCCGCGGCAGTATCATGAGAACAGGCCCAGGGCCGACAGCTCTACGTGCTGAACCAACGCAAAAAGCACCGCTAACTTCTAAACTCGGGGCTACCACTGAAATTGTTTCTTTAGGAAATCACGGTGACCCGAAAATCGAATCCGAGACCTCATGATCTGCAGTCAAAAATACCTACTACAAGGCCAATGAGGCTGTTAAATATTAACAAGTCATAATAGTTTAATTATTTAATAGACTGAATAAAATCAACCAATTTTATTTTATTTACTATACTATATATAAGTAAGTATAATTGCTGCATCCCACTCAAAGGAGTTTATCCCGAGACAACCATTATACTAAAACTATAACAAATAAGTTGTCTTTAAAATAATGGAACCGAGTTCGAATGGCATTATAAAGTATTAAATAACAATATTTCTTAAATTACAATCTCTCTAATATAACTTTTAAGTCAATTTACTAACTCCAACCTGTGTTGTCTTAATTTTTAATTTTTTGATAAATAATCTTGCATATCACAATGTTTTAATTCATATTATTTAAGCACTGTATTCGAGGTTGTTTTGATATTATTAATTACTCGTGACACCAGTAAGTACTAAGTACTGTTTATAAACAAATCATACTATAAACCAGTTAGATTATAGACAAACAATGGTGTACATCAGTGTTTTCCAACGTGGGGCCCACGTTCCACAGGGGGGCAATCGAAATCAGCTGGATTGAACACAACGTAGAGACTTGAGACTGAAGGTAACCAAATTGGAACATAATATAAAATCTCTGTGCAGCAAGCATCAAGCGCAAGGATCACACTAAAATCTTTATTAAAATTACTTGGAATTTGAATAACAGTTTTTAATTTATTTTATTTAACAATTTCCTAGTGATTTCTTGCTAAAACATATAATATACATTTCTTAAGTGAACAATTTTTTTTAAATCACATAAGTCTGTTACATAGGGGTAGTTACGGCACACCTTCATGGCATGAATCACTGGTGAAAAATATTAGTCCAAGCAGGAAAACCATTCGTAGCGACATCTACATTATGCGTCTACAAATCACTACGATGACGTCATACTCTGACTCCTGCTAATTTTTAATTTTAATTTAATTTAATTGTTTAATTCAGAAAACAAGGTTCCATAACAATGTTAGTAAATTACAGCTTAATACCTTAAATCTAAGTGTTAGTATGTTTACATTAATTCATACCGGAATCATTCCGCATGAAATAGAGGAACAGTGATTCAGGTATGGGCAATCGACTCGGTCCGCGATAATGCGGAGGATACCGTTACCGCTAGCTCTCACCCTGCGCACCAAGGATGCACATCTCTTGCGTATGGTGGCGTAAAAACAATCCACCCGCGCCTCAGCAAACATCCCCGATGCGCTGCAGAATCGAGGCAGCCGCAACAGCACCCTGAACGCATTATTATATTGGATACGGAAAGCGTTGTATGACAATCGAGTATATTTCGACCATAAGGCGCTCGTATAGAATGATGTGCAGAATGCTCTAAATAAGGTTACTTTCACATCAATTGAGCATCGTGCAAACCTGCGGGCGATCATGTTCGCCCTGACACACAACGCTCTCCGTTCCCTATCTATATCAGCATCGTCCCTGAGGTCGGGTGTCAAAATGTGTCCAAGATATTTAAATGTTTTTACAATTTTTAAAGGGACCCCATATAGCGACATGGGGGTATACTGGACACACCCTTCCAACCGGCCCCAAAGACCATGACTTCACTTTTATTTACATTATATTTCAAACCATGACTAGCCGCATATACCTCACAGAGCTTAAGGAGACGTCTAACCCCGCAGACCGACGCACTCAGCAGCACCATATCGTCTGCGTAGCTGATATTGTTAACGCACACACCGTCCACGTGACAGCCGACACGCTCGCTGCTAAGCGTCTCAATCAAAGCGTTTATATATAAATTAAAGAGAGATGGAGAGCTCAGTCCACCTTGTCTTACTCCACACTGCATCGTATAGGGCTTAGACAAGGCACCCATCCATTTAACATTATTGATTTGGTTACCATACCAAAACTTAAATACGTTCAGAAGTTCTTGAGGAACACTTATATCCTCTAGCTTCTTCCAAAGTAGATCGTAGCAAACCAAATCAAATGCCTTGGAAAGATCAAGGAAACAGGCATATACCGCCGTCCTCCGACGCAGATAGTATGAAACGGTGTGCTTAAGACTCAGTATAGCACCATCTGTAGACAGCTTGGGTCGAAACCCAAACTGGTTATCGTGCAAATGTAGATATTTATTTAACTGAGTATTAAGCAAACCGTCCAACACCCTAGCCAAAATAGTCGCCAGCGATATAGGCCTGTAGTTTGAACCATCCGCCAAATCTCCTGTCTTGTTTTTTACAACCGGTATAACTAATGTTCGCATAAGATCATAGGGTAGATATGAATGACTTATACACAACGAGTATAGCATGGCTAATAACCTATATATATGAGAACCAGCGTACTGTATATGCTCGATGCTTAACCCATCATGACCAGGGGACTTTCCTCTTGACATAGAACTTATAACGCTTCTTACATGTTTGGCGCTAAATTAAGTATTAACCCTATCACCAATGGGTACAGCACCGAGTTCGTTTCGCGACGGTCTCAGCGAGGATGATATATAGAAGTTGTCTCGGAAAAAATCAGAAATTTCTTCCGAGTCACTTAACCCTCCGACGCTGACTGGGAGTCCCGGCCTCGGCGTCAGCCTCTTTGTTTCTTTCCAAAACGAAACGAAATCTTTTTTATCATGACAAGTGGCTAGTTTTTCCATTTTTATTAAATCTTGATGGTTTTGACACCATTTTAGTCGTGATTTAAATATTTTTCTGCTTTCACACATGTCATTATAAACCCTCCCTGATTCTGGTTTCCCATGAAGTACCCAAATCCTATACCTCAGCCTCGCTTCCGAGTGCGCCGGCTTCACATGTTTGTTCCAACCTATAATATTTTGATTTCTATCATTAATTTTATTTTTATTAGGGTATTTCCGACTAGTCACGGCTGCCTCACTAAGAGAAATAACAATATTGTTATATAATATATCAATAATAAAGTTATTTCGACCATTAAGGATATATGTATGTCGCAGCCAACTAGCTTAATTAGCCGTTCAATTAAGAGCCTAGTCTTTTAACTAAACGGCGCCGTTTAACTAGCGGCCTGAAAAATGTTCAGCCAGTTGATTAAACGGCTAGGCAAATGACTTGGATCGATGACGTTTCATTACTTGCCTAGCCTGTTGACTATTAATTTAAATTTAATTCCACTTTCTGCCACTATCAAACTCGAAACGTAACGCTATCAATATGACGTCGGCAAACCACAACTTTGATGGTGTTTTATGGTACGGCTTGCATAAAACGCCTGTGCTTTGTTACAGCGGGTGGAGGCTGCTCTTCCTCGGCGCCTACGGTTTTAAAATAACACTCTAGGGGTAAAACAGACTAGTAACACATCAGTTGAGGTTGACTGAATCGATGTTGTCCATAAATGCGGGACTCACTTAACCAAGATCTAGTTTACATGTAGATAAATAATAATGTAACAGTTAACATGTAGTAATACTTATAATAATAATAATAATATAGCCTTTAAATTCCGAAACTCTGTAATATTATATATCTGAACTTTAATATATTTTCACTCCAGTATATCTCGGAGTTCGGTGTGCCTCTTGGCAAAGGCCTCCTCTAACCCTTTCCACTGTTCTCTATCTTTTGCGACTCTTCTCCAGTTGTAGCCTGCTGTTAGTTTCAGTTCGTCCTCCCATCTCTTGCGTGGTCGACCTCTTCTTCGTTTTCCGTCTCTAGGGTACCATTCCGTCACTATTTTGCTCCATTTTTCATGAGAGCTCCGTAGCATATGACCCGTCCATCTCCATTTCATTTGGTCAATCTTAATGAGAATGTCTGTCACACCTGTTCTAGATCTAATATCTGCGTTTATTTGTTTATCTAATTTTCTTATGCTCAGTATGCTTCTTTCCATGGCTCTTTGGCAGTGTGCTAGCATATCCCTATGCTGGCTAGATAGTGCCCAAGTTTCGCAGCCATAGGTAAGGCAGGGTAGGATACATGTGTTAAAGACTTTTCTCTTTATTTTTTTGCTGAAATCTGTTGTTTTCATGATCTCCCTCAGTGACCAATATCTTTTCCATCCATTTGCTATTCTTATTTTGATCTCTCGGTGGTTTTATCAGTTAGAGAGATAATTTGCCCCAGATAAATGTACTCTTCAACGTATTCTAGAGGTTGATTATTAAGTTTTATTTCGTATGGGATTGAATTTGATAGTAGCTTTGTTTTGCTTGTGTTCATTTCCAGGCCTACTTTCTCACTTTCTTTGTTTAAGTCTTGTATCATTTCTTCAAGTTTATGAGGGTTCTCTTCGAACAATACAATGTCGTCTGCAAATCGAAGATGATGTAGTTTTCTCCCATCTATATTTAGTCCAAATTCATTCGACTAAATAGGGGGAAGATAAAGATAATGGGTCCCCTTGTCTGACACCTCTTTCGATTTTAAATGTCTTTCCGAGTGTTTCCATTTGTATTCTTGCATTGCAGTTAACATATATTTGTTTTATGATGTTTATATAGGCCCCGGATACTCTTTGGTTTTCTAAGCTTTCCGATATCACTTCATGTTTGATGCTGTCAAAAGCTTTGGTGTAATCTATAAAAGCCATATACACTGTTTTGTTATATTCACTGTATTTTTCTATGATTTGTTTGACTGTGTGTATATGATCGATCATTGCGAAGTTTTTCCTAAATCCAGCCTGTTCCATTGGTTGGCTCTCGTCTAATGTGGTGCTTAATCGATCTAGTAATATCTTGGAGAAAACCTTATATGTATATGTTTGACATCAGGCTTATTGGTCTATAATTGGATAAGTCTTCCTTTGAGCCTTTTTTGTATATAAGAATTATGTGCGAGGTTTGCCATTGTTCAGGAATCTGTTCTGATGTTAGGATGTCGTTAAAGATTTTCGTCAGAATGGGCACCAGTTCTTTTAGGGTTCCTTTCAGTAATCCGTTCGTGATCTTGTCTGGACCTGGTGCCTTATCTGACTTTTGACTTAATATAGCTTTCCTGACTTCACTTTGTAATATATCTGGTTCTAAGTTTGGAGGGTATATGGTCGTTTTGTAGTTGTTGCACTGTTCGCTTCCTGCGATAGCTAGGTTGGAGTATAGATTTTTGTAAAAATCTGATGCTGTCTTTACTATACTTTTGCGGTTCGTGATGTTAATTTGATTTCTTTTGAGATTAGGTACCCAAGGAGTCGCTTCACGAAGTTCTTTAAGAGCTTTTTTGGTTCCGCCTGATTCAATGATGTGTTTTTCGAGTGTTTGTATTCTCCTTGTTTTCCTGTCCTTGCGTATGCCCTTCCTTATTTCGGCTATTTCTCTCAGATTCCGTTTGCCGTTTTTGTTCGCAATTAGACTTTTTCTTTTATTTATAAGCTGCATGGTAGAATCACTCAAAATATATTTTTGTTTCTTCTCTTTTCTAGTATTAGCATAGCGAGGTTGATTTTGAAATCTGGTGTATTTGTTTCTTATGTCAAGTCCTTCTGTTTCTTCGATTCCTCTGGTCTGAGTTGCTAATGGGTATGATGTTGTTTCGTTAGTTTCCGCGATATGGGTTCTGCTAGGCAAGTTAATGTGCTTTCTACGGATCTTAGGAGGCGTCATTTTGAGCGATGCTCTAACCATACGATGGTTAGTATTAAAATTTAACCTAGAAATGACTGTGGTGTCTGTAAATAGCTTTGGGTGGCTACTTCATCAACTTTATTAATAATTAATAATAAACTTGACAATAAGCATAAAGCTATGTAATATACTGAGAGACTGGTGCTTGAAAAAGGTTGGGAAAACCTGTTATTACAAGTCACCAGTCCCTCTTGAACATAGTGGCAAAAAGTATTGCTAATACAAGTTTTAAAAACGAACGAACAATAAAAAATATATACTGCTCAAAACTATTAGCGGAACAAGATTTTTCTCCTTTCTATTGCTTAAACTAAAATTAGATTTAAATTAACTTGTACGCTATTTTTTACCTTGTTAATTTGTTAATTACTACAATTAATAAAAAAATTCAATTTGTATTTTTTTTTATTAAAAAAAAATTAAAATGTGCATTGTAGACGAAAAACTAATTGGTGATAAAAAAGGTCCATCAAAGAAATATTCTTATATCGTTTGAATATTCGTCTTTAGTGACTTTCAGTAACGTGTGTGGCCTCCATGAGCCCTAATCACGGCTTGACAACGACGCGGCATGCTTCGTATGATCCTCCGAATATCTTCTTGTGGAATTCGCTCCCATTCTTCAATCAACGCTTCAGTGAGCTGCTGCAGTGCTTGAGGTGCAATCGGACGCTTCCGGATGCGCCTGTCAAGCAAGTCCCAAATGTGTTCAATTGGATTTAGGTCAGGGCTCATGGAAGGCCACTCCATTACACGGATTTCCTGCTGTCGTAAGTAATCTGACGTGATAGCTGTAGTATGCGGCCTGGCATTATCTTGCATTAAAAGAAAATCTGGGCCCATACCATATGCTGCGGGCCAAACATGATCTTCGAGCACATTTTCAATGTAAGTTTGAGCACACAAGCGCCCGGGAATAACGACGAGATCTGTGCGCTCGTCCAAACTAACTCCGCCCCAAACCATCACAGAGCCACATCCAAATTTGTCATATTCCTGGACTGCTACTGCACTGTATCGCTCGCCTGGGCGTCTGTAAACACGGAGACCACCATCGCAACGTGTTAGACGGAATCGTGATTCGTCAGTTAAAAGCACTGGCCTCCAATGTCGAAGTTGCCAATTAGCGTGATTTTGCGCGAACTGTCGGCGAGCTTGTCTATGTTGAATTATTAGACGCACAGCCCGAACTGGCCGGCGTGATGAGTGATCTCAAATTGGCTTCCAACAACCTATTTCTTACCGTCTGGTCGGAAATTTCTACACCAGTAGCCGTCCTTAGTGTATTTTGTAGATCTCTTGCAGTTGTGGTGCGGTTACGTAAAGCACAGTTGACGATGTAGCGATCTTGCAAACGTGTAGTTTTTCTCTTTCGACCTTGACCACGCCTTCGTGAGTATTCTCCCGTCTCACGGTATCGCTTCCAAAGTCAGTAGATAACAGAAGGGGCTACTCCTAGATCATTTCATACATAACGCATAGTTCGACCCTCTTCAAGCAAAGCGATAGCTCGGGAGACATGCAATTCAGTCAGATCTGGCATTATGACCTAAACTCACTCGCTTCAATGAATAACAATACTCAAAAGGCTCACTTCAATTTCTATTAATACTCAAAAGATTGAAAAAAACTACTTAAAATGTGTTTTCTGTGATTAGAAAGTAATGAAAATTCAAAGACGTCACTTTGTTTTTCGTCTACAATGCACATTTTAATTTTTTTTTAATATAAAAAATACAAATTGATTTTTTTTATTAATTGTAGTAATTAACAAATTAACAAGGTAAAAAATAGCGTACAAGTTAATTTAAATCTAATTTTAGTTTAAGCAATAGAAAGGAGAAAAATCTTGTTCCGCTAATTGTTTTGAGCAGTATATAAAAAATAAATATAAAAAAAATATAATAAAATAGATAGAAAAAAGTTAAAGCATTTGTGTGTGTGTGTGTGTGAGTGTACGGGTCAGTGTGAGTGCGTGTGCGTGTGCGAGTGAGCTAAATTGAGACTAGTGTGGGCGAGAAAAACGTTCCATTTATTAAATTAAATTAGGGGTCGATTATAGATTTTCTGTGCTTTGGTAATCTAGCGATTTGAGATATTTAGTTACCTACTACTTTTTTACAATTGTATTTTGTGAGATGATAAATTTGAAGGTCTTTGTTAAGTTTATTGTATAAATGGGTACCTAGAAAGCAATACGAACTATGGGAAAGAGCTGTTTTGAGAAGTTGAGGACGGCATACGGAATCCTTTCTACGCCTTCCATCTACAAGTTTATGATCGTATTCTATCTCAGAATGCTTTGTAAGAATAGTGTACAGGATGAAAGTTTGTCTAACGGATAATACACCCCAATCCTTATATAAGTCAGCTGTGGGAAAGCGAAAGGGGAGTCCTGCACCTACTTTCAAGATAGCACGATGAGCTCTCTCGACCTCAATGAGGTATGTTTTGGCAGCACCCCCCCACGAGGGTATACAATACACAACCAAAGAATGACATAAGGCATAGAATACCATCCTAAGGACGCTGCGATCAGCGATGTGCTTGAGATTCTTGAAGACAAAAATAAGTTTACGTAATTTTGATACCAGGGATTCGACGTGCCTGCTAAAATTTAATTTTTGATCGATGACGACACCTGTATTTGAACTTGATTAGGTATTTGAAGTGGTCAGTCCTTTGAAGATTAGGACAAATGATCTGGGAGATATTGCAGTTACAGTTTGGTACATGAGCGTATAAGGCCAGCGAAGGAGGTGGAAGTTGATTTGATCTCCTGGCAAAAGTCATAAATTTAGTTTTAGATACATTTAGCGTTAAGATATTGTGATGAAGCCATTTGGATACTGTTTGAAAGCCAATCTGAGCTAGACGAAATACCTCATTCCAGTTGTCTCCACTGAAGAAAAGCGCGGTATCGTCAGCAAAGGTGAAGATTTTGCCCTGCTGTAAGTTAAGCTGGCAGAGGCCATTTATGTAGATTAAAAATAGGGTAGGACCGAGGATGCTGCCTTGAGGCACGCCAAACTTAACCTCACACTCATCACTAACATGGTTTTCGACCTTGACTCTGTGTTTTCTATTACTAAGATAGTTTGTTAGCAGTTTTAAAGGTAAACCACGAATGCCAAGTGTTTTTAGTTTAGATAATAGATGTGGGATGGAGACAGTGTCAAATGCTTTGGCCATATCAATAAAAATAGCCAGACATTTCTCTCTGTCATCTAATGAAGTAACTGCAGAGTTTACTAGGTCTTGTACAGCACTGCTTGTGGACTTTCCTCGACGAAAACCAAATTGGGAGGGTGAAAGGAGTTCATTATTTTCAGTCTGTTATTAATTAGACGTTCTAGAATTTTAGACATTACGGGCAGGATAGAGATAGGTCTGAAGTTATCAACGCGATTTTTTTCACCACCTTTGTGAATGGGTTTGATGATAGCTGTTTTAAAAGAATCCGGAAATACTCCTGTGTTGAAAGCCAAGTTACATATGTGAGTTATGATGGGTGCTAACTGGCACTCGTATCTTTTAATGAACGAACCCGAAATTTGGTCGAAACCTACGGCGCAATTATCCCGCAGGCACCTAATAACTTGAGCAACTTCGTATACATTAGTAGGTAACAAGGCAAATGAATTAAGTGGAGAATTAAGAGAGGATTCTGAAGTAAATGTAGGCAAATTAGGGTCATTGTAGGGGTTTTTCTCTGCGAGGTTTCTACCTACGTTTGCGAAAAAACTATTAACTTCATTGACGGACTTATTCGGATTAATGGTAGATATAAGACATGGAGAATAATCAGTAGGCTTCCTAGAACCACTTATTTCTTTTATTACTTCCCATAGCTTTTTTTATCATCCTTAGCAGCTTGCTGCTTGAAGCTCTAGTCTCTCGTAATTTCTTTTAGCCTTTTTGATGAGTGACGTACAGAAATTTCTATACCGCTTGTATGATATAATGAGAATGTCATTTGTGGGGTCTTTTTTGAGTTTTTTGTGGAGGTTGTCTCTATTTCTCATACATCTCAATAATTGAGGGGTTATCCAGGGTTTCCTAATAGATTTTCTTCGTGGGATTTTAGTTAAATTCATGTTTCTTTGCAAGGCCGAGGTAATAAAGTTAATCAAAAGGCTAGTAGCAATATTTACATCTTTGCATTCTAATGTTTTGTAAATTTAGGCTTATTATATCTTTATCTAACCCTTCATAATCGACGCGCTTAAAATTTTTATTTTGAAATTGAGGGGGTAATCGTTGAGCAATGCTGAGTGCAACACTTTCGTGATCAGTAATTGATGATTCGAATATTATGCACTTAGCTATTGATTTAGTTTTTATCATCATGTGGTCCAGGCAAGTTTTACCGTGGGTGGGTACGGAACTTATAATATAATCTATTTCATTTCTGTACTTTCCATCAGGGGAGACCCATGTCCACTTGTTGTTTTTATTCTTCTTGAAGATGCTGTTCGCAATTGTAAGATTGTGTTCTAGAAGGAGATCTATTAATCGTTGGCCATTGATACTTCTTTTTCCGTAGCCGAATTCTCCCATTATATATATATGTATTCGTCATTGTTTTGTCTAGCGCCTACTTGCGCATTGAAATCCCCCATCAGGATAATAATATTGTTAGAGTAGTCATATATGATTTGAGATAGTGTATTATAAAAGGATGTATGTTCTAGTTCATCAGCTTGTTCAGTTGGTGCGTAGACTTGGATGATTGACCATATTTTTTTGAAGCTGGGTATTTTTAAATGCAGTATGGCTATTCTTTCCGTCATACCGATGAAATCTTCTATGGAGTTTTTTAAGTGGGTTTTAACTAAAAAACCAACTCCTCTTTGGCCTCCGATTTCGCCTTTATGGGTAGTAATACTTAGTTGTTGTTTAATACTTAGACGCAACTCCGGCAGCAAAAATCACTTGAAGGTGATCCAATCAAGGTCCCCCGAGACACCTATATAATCAGTATCATCAAATTCAAGCGACGTAATTCTAAATCCAACCCTGAATTTGACTTAAGCAATTTAATTTTAAAAGAAATATTTCTTAATGTTATATGTTTATCTTTTTTATTTCTGCCAAATAATGACTGTCTCGCATGAATGAATCGCACGAATGGCCTAAGCATTAGCCAGCCAATTTATTAAATGTTGTAACAAACGCTACGGCTGAATATCTTTCAGGCCGTTAGTTAAACGGCTAGGCTGTTAATTGCAAGGCTAATTAAGCTAGTTGGCTGCGACATATACAACGTCCCGACCTAAGACACTGGGGCCTTCGGGTCGGCCAGTCAGTAGTTCGACTGGTCTACGTTCCACATCTCACATTAATTTCATATACAAAGATATTTTATAATGAATATGTGAAACTAAACAGCGTGACAATTCCACATGTACGAATTGGCTGGCACCAGCTTGAACTCTTATAAAGTAGTAGTATTTATGAACATATATGTAACGATACTAACCACATCTGTATACACACCTCATTGTTGTATCGTGAGTTGACTTCTTTACACGTGTTGTGGATACGGCGAAGATGTTTTCAATAAAGTTTTCGTTTTTGTTAATAAGTGCAAACGTGATAATTATTTGTAAGTATTCTAAGAATATACTTTTTTAATAAGACACAGGTGAGGTTTTTAATCGTGAAGGGTGTCTCGTTTTTATAAAGGCGTTTGAACTTCGCATAAACTAAAACCTGATTAAAGGGGCAAGTTCAGACGCGCAATTATTTTTTATAAATGTATACTTTAAAATACCATAATAACATTTGAATTGTTTCAAGTTGGTGAACCACCCAAAAAATTTTTCCGTCCCGACTACGAGAAATACATGCCAGAAACAGATAGTTTTTATAAAATTTACACGCAGCACAAGACTTTTGATGATGCGAAGGAGACTTGTGAATTAGACGGAGCAGAATTGTTTTATCCGGAAGATGAAGACGAAGCTAAGGCTGTGATATCTTACTGGCAGGAAACTCAAAGGTTCCACTGGATTATAATCGGCGTTTACGCACCGTTTGTGCCAGACGTTTTCGTAACGATTCATGGTGAGCCTTATTCGGATATTTTTTTTAATTTATATTATTCAAAGTGACCTGCGACTTCTTTCATTTTTACATCAACATTTTCTTGATTTATAAATATGTAATATAACCATACACTATTGGCATAGATTTTTTTTACAAACCTGTTTCAAAGGTCAAATACTGTAGTATAATCGTAGTTTCGAGTATGTTAGTTCAATAAGAGAACAACATATTGGTTACAGACTACTTAACTCAGTTGTAATTCGTTACAAATAGTTTTGCGTTTAATAGTAGGTAATAATTAGTATCTTTTAATCTTGTCTTATTCGTGCTGGTTTTTTTTTGTGCAATTCTTAGTAACGTAAGTTATTACTTATCTTAAATTCTAAACCAACGAGCGCTATTCACCAGAGACTTCTTTCTTCGACTGATCTTAAAGACTCAATTTCTGCTTTATTTTTAGACTACCGGCCGCGCCGTCATTACGTAATTACTTATATATCTTACAATAAAATTCACATATTAAATAAAGATAATCTTATTTCTGATGTATGAATGATTCTTGGTGCATAATTCATCAGGTGTTTAGTATAATAACATATAGTATATTTGTTGACTGCAATTGACTAAATATAAAGGGAAAAAGCAAGTGATGTGTATAATATCGTTAAATTTCTTACTTATGTTTGTTTATTACCATTATCCCCAGGAGCTTCAATAAACACTGTTTACAAAAAATGGGGTCAAGCCGAACCAAATAGTTTCGAGGTTTTGAAAAGTTGTGTTATTTTGCGACATACTTTAAGTATAAGCGATGTTGTCTGCAATAATCTCTACCCCTTTATTTGCAAGAAACGAGCAAGCACGATTCGTTGGAATAGACTATGTGATTTACCAACTAGGAGTAAGTTTTTTACCGAGTTACGTTTTTTTCTTTTTTCAGTTGATGAAAGGGACATATCGCCCCGTCATATTGTCGTTTTTTAACAAGTATGTGATCAACCCTGATAATATTTGCCTTCCAAAATATAATTATTTATATTTTTGAATTTTTTTCCCTGGAATATCTATCAACTGGCACCTGGAGGTTAATTTTTATTGTAGAGATTAAATTCAAGCTGCTGTAGGTTTATAAGATAATCGCTCCTGCTTAGGCCTGCTTACCTTCCTGCCTCAGAGTCTGGCCTATACCAATTCTATGCCGCCATTATTCGACAAGAATACGAAAATATGTACCTAGCAGCGCCTCTTAAAGTGAATAATATAACTATTTTACTGTTTGAACTGCCACCGCTGACTATTCACTGGTCTGGCCTGACAATTTCATTATATGGTTATTATTATAGTTTTTTATTCATTTGAAATGATGACACCTATAAAGTGTAACCTGCTTTCTCCCAATCGAAAGTTCCGATGTTTCAAATGCATATAAATGATGGTTAAATTTTACCGTCCAGGTTACGAATATGTGGAACAATTAGGTAGATGTTACAAGTTTCACACAAATCCAAGAAACTGGACGGAGGCTTTCCGAGCTTGCAATGCCGAGCAGGGGTACTTGGCTATTATCGACAGTCAGGGAGAAGCGGACCACCTCGTGAACGTCACAAAGATGGCGAAAAAAAGATGACGTGGAGGGCAACTATCTTCGAGGTGCCATTCATTTAGGATTTGTTAAGAAGAATTCAGTGTGGCGTTCTATTATGGGTATGTTTTTTAGAGGTTTAATTAAAACATTCATCATGTAATCGGTAATTTCAGAACGATACGCTACGAGCAATATACCTAGTTACCAACGTATAGGTGTTCTCCACAAACAGTCGGTCAGTCAAAGAATTATTTCCAGGTCGGCCACTCAAATCCCTCGGCTACAAGACGTGGGGCACAAACCAACCAGACGGAGGAGATAGAGAGAACTGCGGCTCCATGTTCTTCAATGGCAAACTCAACGACATCGGATGCAATCAACAATGCTTTTTTATATGCGAAAGGGAGATACCGCTATTAGAAAACTCTATTAACTTAAGGTTTGGTGATTACGATGATGTACAGTAATTATTAGTAAATTACTTATTTGGATTACAGTTTTCAGTATATCAGCGGTCAAAGTTCGCTTCTATTTTAAAACGTGTCTAGAACGTAAAAGATAAGTGTAATTCTTTTGATAAAGAGGCCATTTTCAAACTTTTTTTATTTCATCAAACTAAACAAACTTTGAATATTATAAAACGTATGCAGATAAACTAATTATATTTCGTCTTGTAAATAATATGCCTCTCTATCTAAGAAAATAGAAGCCAAATTAGTATTAATTTAATGTGAAAGAAAATCTTTATGTCGAGCATTGACTTTTATTTGTTATATATTGTAGTGGTTGGATGTCAGAGCAGAAAAGAAGATAATTCGCGACGCCATCGTGGACTCTTACTGCAAAGCTTCAGATGCAAGACTCAGCGCGAGCTATGACTCCGTATGTCATGTTTTTTTTATAGTAGGAGACAAAGGGGCAGGAAGTCTGATGTTAAGTGATACCGCCGCCCTTGACACTCACGATGCCAGACGGCTCGCAAGTGCGTTGCCGGCCTTTCAAGAATTGGTACGCTCTTTTCTTGAAGGACCCTAAGTCGAATTGGTTCGGAAATACTTCAGTGGGCAGCTGGTTCGGCTTCTGATATATTATCTGACATTAGCCAATTGATTACCCACCGAACTGAAATAGATACGTTAAATCTGAGACGCAGACTTAAGAAGGTTGAAACGCCACTGATTTATTTATTTTATTTTATAGTAAAAGTATATTCAACCAGTTGTTTAAATTATTGAAACGTAATGACTTTTTTTTATATATAAAAAGTAATTCAAGACAGACCGTGAACTTTTCAATAGGTATGTACCTAAAGCATGGAATAGTTACGCAAAACAATTTTCATGAATTTTAGTAAGGAGAGCGCTCTGTGGTCGTGGCGCGTGTGTGTCGTCAGAGTTTGACATCTGACACATCTTCAATCGTAGAAGCCAATTCTCACACGAATACTTCTACGATAGGGTATTTAATACGTAACGAGTATTTGTTTACGTGCGATGATTTCAGTCTTTGAGAGATTATGTATACATTATGAATAATGTTCGAACGACGCGTCACGCGTTGCTTGCGTTCAGATCCAAATACGTCTGAATTTCATCCCATTTTACGCATTGTTCGTGCTATGGGGTCTGCAAATGTCCGAACCCGCCGCGCCAGTCTGAGAGGGAGTACTCGTAAGGACAGATTTTGAATATAAAATGTAATATTTTTCTTCTTTTCGTAATATCTTGTAATAATTTCGGTAAATACCTCAGTAAGTCGTCTTCGGCTTGGTAAAATATAAGCTGCGAACCGAGAAATGGATAAAATATATTATCATATTGTTAATATATTTTATGAAAATAAAAGATGTTAAATTATATTAACATTTATTTTAAAATTGTTATTTAACTTAATTAAGCGATAAAACACAATCCCGTTATTAAAGTTAATATTTGGCTTAGCTTAACAAAAGGCGAAACTACTTTAATACTCATTTATAATAATATATACCTTTTATAATGAAATATTAAAGTTACCGCAGGTCAATCGGTCGGCGACCTCACAGTCACCTCGAGCGTCAGCTGATATTTTATAAGAAAACATGTCACACACAACGAAATCTGCCACCAAACAGATTACACAGAAACGTCGTTTCGAGTGGGAATTATTTATTTGGAAAAACCACATTCCCCACGAGGGGCAAATACCTCACGAGGGGTCCGCCGAGCGCCAGAGTGCTCCTCAAGGGGGGGACGTAAAGGACCAGCCAGTACAGCATTAACAAGTAGAAGAAAGCCGACGCCGCCAGATCTAGAAAGTATAATCTGAAACGAACACTTATTTGTTAGGAATTATTTTTTTAAAATTAAATCTAAGAAAAGTATAAGACAGTATGAGCTTCCTTTCGATGTTTTTCATTGAGACAGAAATGATGTAAAATAAATAACTGAAATCATAGAAGACAAAGGCTCTCACATATTGTTCTGCAGCCTGGCCTTCGGCAGATCTTCGAGTCTCTCCCTGAGGCAGTACAGCTTCCCGCCGATCATGCAGCTCTCTATGTAAGGCTCGATCTGGATTTTCATCACGTCCATCGGATAGAGAGTCAGATCGGTCTCGTTGAGGGTCCCGGGCAGTCCTCTGAAGCGATCCGTGTCGAACCACCACTCCCGGGTCGTGAAGTACTGCAGCACTTCCAGCCCCACCGAGATGCGCTTCTGGATGCGGACCATGCTGGAGCATAATTAACATAACATGAGACTCCGAGATCTCGCCGACTCATCCCGTGGAGAGTCGTCCCGAAAAGAAAGAACAGAGAACAGATTCTCTTTCAAAGTCTCTTTTCGTCGCAGCGTGAACACAATTAGACAGAAAGAGACGAAAGCGCGCAATTTGATAGATTCAAAAGCCACTCACAATCGCTTCTGGCCGAAGAGCAGCATGAGGAAGTCGATGAGATAAGCGGGCACGATGTGGTAGAAGAAGACGCACAGCTCGTGGAAGAACTTGTTGTGGCGAATGTTGCCGTCGGGGTACCAAAGGGGTCCCTCGAAGGGGTACTTCCTCACCGTGGCTTTGCCCACGTCCAACACTTCCTTCCAAGTGTCCTTTCTCTGGTCTCCGGTCGTCAGATTGAACACCGGGATCTCTGGCGAGCTGAAGTTATCGTTCTCAGTGTCCGCTCCGAAGTCTTATTTTTCTTCAAATTGTTCAACGTTAAACCGACTCACCGATCCGCCTTCTTGTCGAGGTGGCAAGGGATGACCGCCAGGGCGTTGATGGCGATGTCTACGGGGATGACCTCGGCGTGGTAGTGCCCGCAGCAGTGCATGGACCGGATGACCCCTTTGCCGGCCCCGATCATGAGCCCGACGGGCCCGTTGAGGTTGTCCACCCAGCCGGGGACCGGCTCCTTGTGGGAGGGGGTCACTGGAAATATACCAACGCTCGTTGCACACATGCCGACAAACAGATTGTATTGAGGATATATACAAGGATTATTGTGAAACTCTTCTCATAACTGAAGATCGAAGTAAGAAAAGCCTCACGCCATGAAGAACTAGATGAATGACTGATGCGATATTGCAGTTTTAATACTGGTTCGGTGGATGCGAAATTTTCCAAAGAAAATAGAAATCAGATCGAGATTGAGATAGTGACTTAACAAATAATTTCTGTATGACTTGAGATAGGCAAAAATGCCGTTCCCTCACCGATGCTGGGTCGCACGACGACTGCGGGTATTTCCGGATAGGCCTCCCTGACGAGAGCTTCGGCCAGCCTCTTGGAGTACGTGTAGGAATTGGGGTGCTTCTTCATCAGCGAAGGAGCTATCAGGTCGAGCTGCTCTTCGGAGAGCCAGCTGGCGGCTCGGAGCACCTCGTGAGGATTTTCGGGGGGATCGTGGACCTGAAAAGTTTTGCGTTTGCAAAATTATATAAAATACGGAATACAACAAACTCGATCCAAATGTATGCGACGTAGAATACGAAAAAGAAAGGAAAAATTAGCTCAAGACTTCTAAGCCTAAATGGCTCAGCATCTGTTAGATTATGTTTACTTCCTAGAAGACTAGATTTTTTAATGCCCCTTTCCACAAGATTCCTGGAAAACAATCGGTAAGGTCGGTGAAGGAGCACCTACAATTTTATTGAAAAACTTTTATTTTGTGTACTAGAGAAATTTTTGGTCCATTGGTGCACAGCCAGGGTTCGAATGTGCGACGTCGGGATCGAGATCTACTCCACTCGTGACTAGAATTACCTTCTCCGCCAACCTCTCGTAGTCGGGATAGCAGAACGCCGTGGAGAGGTGAACGAAGGAGACCAAATTCTTCACTTTCTTTGCGAGATCTAGAACCCGCTTCGTCCCTCTGGTGTTCATTTCCAGACCCTCTTTGAGGGGCGCTTCCAGGCGGAGAGTGGCCGCGAAGTGGTAGACTATTGACACCTGGAAATTATTATATCCTTAGATGAAAACTCAAATTCTATTGTTTTCGACAAATATCTACACTAAAACTAGTAACGTCTAAACTCATCGCCATTATTATAAAACAAAGTCAAGGTATACAGGTAACAAGTAGTAACTCGTACGAAGCCGTGGCGAAACAACAGTTATAGTGATAATAAATATAGCAAAATAAAGGAAAGTAATATTAAAAAAAACAGGTTTAGAAACGTTAATTAATAATAGGCACTATTCAAACTCTAATAGTGAAAGTGATTTTACTTATTCGTCAGTTTAAAAAAATCTAAATCACGTAACGAATTATGACATAACAGACTTAAAAACTGCAGTGAAGTGATGTTATGATTGAAAGCAATTTAAATAGGTTTAAATAAAAATAAAACAAATAATAATTAGATATAGATAAAAAGTTCACGAGAAAGTGAGTCGCAATATCGAGTAGTGTGGAAGCAGCACGTGGACTCGTCAAAACTATAACTTCGCTAACTAAACTGAATATAAATGTGACCTAGCATCAGTTTATTACAATATTTTCCATAATTTTTATATAACAACATATTTTAGAAAAAAACAGATATTGCATCTACCGGCAGCTAGGGTTGACACATCCAAAGTTTTTTTCCATTTTTCTTTTACATTTTTCTTTTACACATTTCGTCGTCTCTTGACAAGTTACCATGACTTCCATGTCAAGGCTGATAGAACATTAATTGTTGTAAAAATAATGCATTTAGACTCTTATTACTCAAACCTAACCTATTATAAACTAAATAAATCCATCGTAAGATCAAAAAACCTCCGTCTTTGAAGGATTTTAAACAACTTTCACTTGACGAATGTAATTGTCCGCATCGGGCACATTCAGCTGAGCACATTTGCTCTTTCTAAACTATACTCACTCCTAAAATCTGTTGCAGTCTTCACGAATACCGAATAATCGAACTGCTTTTTTCTTATATCTATATCCCACTTTAAAGCTGCGGCAGACACAGGTCTTCGGGCCCTTAACTCTACGATATTTTCGTCTATAAGACACTACCGACTCTTTGGTACAGAGTATCCCTACTGATCCTTTATATATTTGTAGATTTGGGATCGTTAAAGACTGCCAATGCCAATAATAAGTACCTACCACAACGAACCAGCTACCGAATATTTTTTATTGATAAAGACATACAATAAACTATCATCTGAATAAGTATTGCTTATTAAAATGATTCTCTAGCGTTTCCTATATTTAAATTCAAAAACTCACCTCATTGTATATTTTCTCTAGTTTGTCACTGTCTATGCCGAGATTGTCGCTGAGTATGTCCCCAGTCACGGGCACCAACTTCTTCATGACGTGTGGCTTTTCTTCCCTTATTCTTGCAAATAACTGAAACAAATTAGATCTATCAATTAGCTCTAAAACAATTTCCAACGCCAATCGTTGTCCTTAAAAAAATAAATCAATCAATCAGTGGCGCTGTTTAGGTCTTGGCCTCAGATTTCTGAATCTGTTTCATGATCATTTTTTTTAAATCTAATAGGCAAGTAGGTGATCAGCCTCCAATGCCTGACACACGCCGTCGACTTTTTGGGTCTAAGACATGTCGGTTTCCTCACGATGTTTTCCTTCACCGTTCGAGAAAATGTTAAATGCGCACATATAAAGAAAGTCCATTGGTGCACCGCCAGGGATCGAACCTACGACCTCTATTCTATCTACTCTCAGTCACACACTCACATAGTGTAAGTCAAGAGTCAAAAAAGAAATATACATTAAATGATTCTAATTTTACATTTACTGCCAGTTTTCAAATCAAGGCCGTAGAACGGAAGAGAAGAACTGGCAATAAACTCATTCATATACTCATACATTCACGCATAATTAAATTCTTATACGTCTTTTGTTTGATTACATGTAAGACTAATCTAACACTACTTTTTCTTTAAAAAATTGTTTTAAACATGCAGAAGTATTCCGTGGGGAATAATTGTAATCTAGTTGCCCACAACCCTGGGGCTAGTGTGGGGCAATTTTGTCAGAACCATATTTCTGTCTTGAATAAAATTTAATTATTATTAATGTACAAAATATAACTAACTGATGTTTTTGTTTGGCCGATGTTTCTCTACTCAAACGTTCATTAAAATCTATTCAGTGGTTTTATCAATGTAAATAATAAACGAGATAAATGAAAGAGAAATCATTATGTACGTCTATTATGTTCAAGCATTAAATGACATGACTTGGATTTTTCGAGCACTATAAGGACCGTTACGTAAATGTTAGGTAAGATCAACTTAACTTGATCCCACACAGTTTTATTTTAACTCGGCATAAAATTAGATTGGTATGGAATAAAAAGTATAAACTTACAGGTAATTTCCACATTTCCTCTATTCGAGTTTCGGGTGATTTTCCTCTCTTACCCCTAACTAATGCGTATACGCAGCCAATGTCAGGGATGCTGTAGAGAAGCTTCTCGATGAGGACTTTGCCCATGAGCCCGGAGGCTCCGGTCACCAGCACATTTCGGCCTTTATACCACTCGTTAACCTCCGACCTCATTTTGCCTGTTAAATAAAATAATTATATGGCAAACAATAATATGTTGGCTAAATTCGCAACATTGTAAATATATATTAAAATATTATAAATAATATATTCCTGATAAACTTATAGGTAAGTAATATAAGTAGAAATTGTTGCAAACTTGGGGTGACCCGTAATGGCAACTTATTTGGGCTAATAAATAAATAAATTTTATAATAGAGTTCAATCTCTATTTCAATACACTCGAAAAATCATTGATCTTACAACAGGTCGACATTCAATATTTATTAACCTAAATACATATTTATCAAAATTCTTAACTTACAACAAAGCTAAAGGTTTTATTTAAATAGAGAGCAAACGATTGAATTATTGATTAAAATTATTGAAAATTACTTGGATTTCAGCTAATTAATTTCAGCGTAGCGCTAAAAGCAAGTATGTAAGTATTTCATAAGCAAGTGCGGTTTACAGTGACGCAAGCTCAAACACGCACATTTGCGAATTAACATTACGAGTGCGATGTTCTCTACTTAGAATTAGGATAAAAAAATAAGTTATTTTGTGTCTGATGAACTCCTGATATACGTAGGTAGGCCCGTAGCTTGTGACTTTGTGCCTGGTTACATGTTCATTTCTAAAAGCCTCGGCACACTAACACATTGGTACAAGAAAAATAAATAACAGTTTTTAATGTGACAGGCTCTTATAGGCAAACATAACATACACAAAAAGATTAATAATTCAAAAAAACTAAACAAAAATCTATTTTAAAGTGTGAGGGGAACAACTATGGATATCCTAACCTTAACCAAAACCCCTCTGACAAGTGACTAGACTCAGAAGCTTACCATTAAACTTGGCGGAAATACATTTTTATTTAAAACTTAGACCTTAAAATGTAACTGCCGATAGTCTAAAATCTAAACTTAATATTTTGTCAACAAACGCCAGTTAAAGACATGTTATAGCTTTCTACTACGAACAGGTATTTCTACGCTTACGTCAATAGTTGTATGCGAACGTAAGACGATTTATCACTAGCGTAAGCACTAATTGTTGTTAAACGACAAATTTATAAAATTAATCAAGTGAATACTTTATTCAATGGTCGAATACATACATTTCTGTTTAAAAGAATTAAACATATCACTGATATAATTTCTTTATCATCGACATAAAAGTAAATATGTATTGTATATTACGTTTAATGTATCGGACAAGCTTTTCACAGTGTGGTTCAATATTAAAATGAGCTTGCATGTACACGCTAATTTGAAATAACTGCTAACTGCAATGTTTATTTTTAAGCCGGAAGTTGCACTTATACACCTATTATTTATTTATAAAACAGTTAAAGAATAACATAATACACTTAAACCACTGCAATAGAAATAACCACTAAACAGTCGCTACAATAACCTTCTATACGAATTACAAACTGAGATCACAAAATATCATTGTTTGTAAATAAAAATAATTAACTTAGAAACAAACCTACTTTCTTTCGAATGAAATTAACGAATGGCTTCCGATGATACAATATATCATCGTGGGTCTAATTCACATCTTTAAAGAAATAGTAAAAAGTGAAAACTTGCCTATCGAGGTAGCAGTGCGACGTTGTTGGTGCGCGGGCGCAGTTCAACTGACATACAACCTGTTGTACAAGAGTAGGCTTGCGTGATGCCAGTTACTAGATACTAGGCCGCCGTGGCTTAGTCACGGAGACTATTTGGTAAACCTAAACCTTTGCCCGAAAATAAGCGGTTTGGACATTGGAGAAATCCAGTCAAAAGTTATGTAAAATGTGGCCAACTTTAACGATCAACTACATACATATTTCGCCCCCTTTTTCTTAATGCAGCAAATGTTTTCCGTGCACGAGCTTAAAATGAATATATAAAATAGTTCAGATCTCTTATGACTAATTCTCAAGCATTAGTTTCTAAGTACGTCTTAGTAACGTATTATGACTTTGGACATGGTGGCTGGGTCTTGCCATCAGTGCTATCAGCTCTCCAGTATAGTCTCATCCGAAAGAATTGTTGTTTATCCAATATTGGCAACAGAACGTTTCAGTTGAAGACGCTGAATAAAGTTTGTATAAACATGTAAACATGTAAATTAAAGTGCTGCCACTTTAATTTACATGTTTTTCATGTTTTGGATCTTGCAACAAACACCCGCAACATTCTTAACATTTAGTTGCGAATGCGTAATTTCAAATAGGCTTGGGAAAGCGGAACTTGTTCGCCAATTTCCGTTTCTAACAAATTACGTACGTAATGCTTATTTCAAGTAACAAGAACAACAATATACCGCATCGAATAACTAATACGTTCCAGTTTAAGCGCCCTCTAGTAGCGACTTCACAAATGATTAGGTAATATATTATAATTAAGTGGGGCGGTTATGTATTTATAATGGACTGAAATACGAAAAGCCCACATAGATGTCACTATATATAATATAATTAAAATCCATATACTTTGTTAGTAAGCGAAGTAATTAAAAAACAAAACATCATTATAGAATGACCTCATCGTTTCATCTTGTTTTGAAGACTAATCACGAATAAAAACGAGTTTTCAAGACTTACATTTATAATTTTATATAAAGCGCGGAACTCTCATGTTATTGTATGTACAGAATACTTTAAGGTCACAATTACACGTATACGTAATTACCTTGAAATAATTTGTAACATTTTTGCTGTTCGTAGCTATGGAATTGTCGCCTCTATGTCAAAATACAAAACATATACAATACATAACATCCAATGATCACGATTCACTGGCAAACACAGACATTACGCGAGCCGGCGCCGACGCCGACGTGCTGGCGATCGATCGAGCGCGACAATTTTTGGTGGCCAAATTGTTACGAAATGTTTGCAAATCGAAATGGGTAACGTGCAGTGTTACAATGACGAAAAAAAAGTGAAAAATAAACGAAACAAAGTACAAACCGACTGTGCGGAAACGACGCCAACAATGGGCGCGATTAAAGGCGAAAGTCATTTAACGAATAGCAACGAAAAAGCGGATGTCAAAAAAGAATATATCCTTGGGCGCGACAGCGTAGACTTCGAGAGCACGAAAATAGAGCCAGATAAATGTGTGTCAAAAGATCTGGCGAATGGAAATTGTGAGGTACATTTAAGTTATTTTGCAAGGTCAAGTTATTTATAAGGTAAAAAGGGGAAAGATGTTCGTTATCTACGCATGTTTACTTTGTGTTTAATTATGACCGCTCTTAGCCATGAGATAATGTATTGTGCGGCATTGCTGACCTTTTAATATACGATACGACTGATTTTAGCACTAGTAAATAGTTACTATCACGAAGTAGCGTTAGGTGTAAATGATTTTCAACGTTTTTTTGTGTAAATCGTAGTAGCACGTCCGCGTTTATTAGAAAACTACTTCGCTTTACTCAATTAAGATGGTTTCGTCATTCAAGGTTTCCTTATCTACGAAAGTACGAAATTTTAGCCACAACACACTCGCATTATTAATATTAAAAGTAATTAATTCTAAATTAGTAAAACGTTTACGGGAATTATTTGCTCAGTTTTCAAAATTCTTATGCGTTGCAAACAATAATCTGCGTATGTTCCATATCAGTCCAATATATTTCTTAATGTTATATATAGGTACGTTGATCCTGTTTGTGTGAACCTATTAAGATCTATTAGGCTTTTTTCCGTGATGATCTAATATGCATTATTAACATTCAAGGACTCTTCGAGCTATTTATTTAAATCCGCACTTTAAGCACATCTATTAAAACTAAACAATAACTAATTAACTCACAACCAAGAGAAAAAAGAGAGAATAAAATATTTAAAAAATACTACAAAACCGCAATTATTTTTAAGCCGTACAGAAAAGTAAAAAAAAAAAATATTTATTTAATTATATAAAAATATAGGCTTCCTATACCAGCTGCATCGATTAAAATCCAAACAATATCAACAATCTAAATCAAATCTAATAAATAAGAGAATTGAATGATGAGAATGGTAACAAAATGTAAGTGTCGTCGAATAAATAAATCATTTGGATTAAATAATAAGAAAACTTCGACAATTAACAAAATAATATTTATCTCATTTATATGCAACAATAGAGTTACTAAAACCACTACATAAGTGATTGCTTTTGAACAAGATAGGGCTCGACTCCATTTTAACAATAAAATCTATAAATAAATTTACAATTGTCTCGTAATTTACAATCTTACGTACAGACAGAATTTTATCATTAGAGAGGATTTATATTTGATAACAAAACAATTTAATAAAGTAATCTCAGTTTAATCGTTATTGTATTGACAAGATTTGAATCTCTGATGTTTTTGGATGGACTCCAAATTCCTAACAGTTTTAATAATATTCCCACGTTAAGTCAAGACCATGCTTTTGGAGCATAGGTACATATCTATCGAATAAATATTCAATAAACAGCATAAAGGCAGCGTCTAGTATTTACCAAATCTATACAAATAAATATCAAAAAGAGGTTTTGTTGTTCAAGAATATATAATAAGGAAATATAAAAATTACAAATTAACGCGCCTACTATAATGTATTAGCAATGTCTAACATTACATCTACCCATTTTCTTATAGCTATTTTTATGGCCCAAAATATTTATACGATTACTCATATCGTTTAACACATATATGGGTTGCCTTATTAACTAGATAGTAACTATAGAAGATCGTTTTCCTTAAAACCATAGCATAAAATGACATCAGATAATTTTATTACTTTAGATAAGGCTAATTTCTAACAAAGTTGCAGTTGCGTGAAGAGGAAAAGATGAAGAGAAATTTCTTTTGATTTATATACTAGACTTCTATCAAAATAGTAATACAATAACCATTGAATTTCCATCTTACATAAGTCATTTCTCTAATTACACACTTCAATATATTCTACAGGTATCATGGTTCATATAAATATTAATAGTTGCTTATTAACTAGTTAGTTTTTCTTTAACAGTTCCATAGTGTAAGATAGAGATAGCGATATACGCATTGGATTGCATTGATAGTGGGAAAACCCGTCAGTACACAGCAGAACACGTTGCTTATCGCACTGTGTTAAGTTTTCTTTACTTCTTATATTTTCGCAAAACATATTAGTATTGCAGAATTATCTAGCAACAAACTATAACTTAAAACAATGCGTAGTTAAAAATTATAATGATTATCAAGTGTTGTGCGTCACCAAAACTACAAAAATTGTAATAATGTATATTCAAAAAAAAATAATAATATTCTAAACTAAATATTTAAAACAATGGTTGTACCAAGAGATGATAACATGTCGTCGATTTCTTACTCGTTTTCGGGAAAACCTCGAAGTTGTTTACCAAAAAAGGTAAGGGAAAGTTCAACCGTTAATCTGTTTACTATTATATATTACGAATAGTATATAGATTTATATATAGGTTACGTAGAGACGTTAATAACAAACAAATGATTGTTATAATGTTTTTTTTATATAGAACTGAGGGCAAACAGTCAGGAGGCTCATCTGATGTTAAGTGATACCGCCGCCCATGAGGCATGGACACATTCAATGCCAGAGAGAGTTCGCTAGTCGCTAGTGCTCTACCGGCAATTTAAGAATAGGTGCGCTTTTGTGTGTACGTTTATTAAAAACTAAAATCTTCAATAGTCAAGAGAATCTTATCCTTAGTTGTTACATAAGGTTAATCTCATATTAATTTGATTTATTTTAAAGTTTAAAGATAATAAACCTTATATCCTGTGAACCTTAAATGGTAAAACTGCTTTTTTTCTAACCCTAATTAGCGATCATAAGCTAGTATTAATTTAAAAATACCTAAACTAAATTTCCAATATCAAGGATATTGAATAATCACACATTACCTACGTGAAGTGAATGACCTGTTATACCATTGCATTAACATGTAGTAATCGAGTTATACTGTATATGAAATCTATATCACATGCTCCTTAATAGACCTTTAAATTGAAACTGGAACAATATTATTGTAATATTGCTAATCATAACCCAAGAATAACTTAAAATTTTGATAACGATTAATAAGATACGATTCCTAAATAGCTATCAACCAATGGTAGCTCAAAGGTAGCTAGCGTCGCGAGCCCCTCAGCAATCTAACATTTTCCTCAATTAAATAAAAAACGATTTGAGTCATGTCTGACTTCAACCGGCACTGGTGATAACAGCCCACGTGCTGGGATGATTCATCAGACTCTTTAATGATTTGTTAGCCCTATGAGATTACCGGACCATAAGCGTACCAGGAAAACTTTCCATACTACAAACACTAGATAATTTAAAACTCCCATCGCACTTTTTAAACCTATGGAAAAGAAACTAACCAAACATTACATTATCAGTTAGTAAATATTAATTTAAATTAAATATTAAATAAATATTACTTCATTTAAAGGTCAGTACTCACATACGGTATTACTCGATAGTTTAACTCGATGTCGAGTAAAAATCAACGCGTGGACCGCAAAGCTCACAGCTCGAAGGCTCGCACCGAGCAGGCTCGATGGAATTAAATGAAAGTAATTTCCTTCGAACCTACTCGAAGCGAGCCGTCAATCTTGACTCGAACGTGTGTACGTGACTGCGAGTGGCACGAGGCGAGCGTCAGTCTGGTACTGTTTATCGTGATTGAAACACGTGTTTTTAAGAGAAATGGATTTGCGAGTTTATTCCAAAAGCGCTATAGAAGACTTTATTACCACATATAGACAGTGTGAGTGTTTATGGAATGTCAAGTCCAAAGATTACTCCCACAAAAATAAGAGAAATGAATGTTATGATAAATTTCTTTTCATTTTCTTTGATTTTTTTATAAAGCACTGTGAGACTTGCTGAATACAGCCACCTTCTCCTTTGTTGCACAGACATCCTTTGGCTCGAACGGTTCGGTGAATACTGAACGGCGCGCCTCACTCGATAGATCAGTGCTCAATGTGTGGACGAAAACCCATGCCATGGGTTTTACTCGACAGTTTAGCACGATCGAGTAATACCGTATGTGAGTACTGACCTTAACAAGTGAGTATTGAATTGTGACAAAATACAATGGTAATTATTAAATATACATAGATAATAACGCTAATATTATTAACACTGCAATACTAGCGGTTAAGCGTTAATAAAAAACAGTACAAGAATACAAAGTACTATCGACGAGTAATGAGTATTCATTATTGTCACATGTACTGACAACAAATAAAAAAGAAGTATATCGACACGTTTCCGTTTAATTTTGATCCCTATAACCAAACAGTTAAATCTCAATTTAAATAAAAGCTTCGCTAAACACCTGTGGTAATACAATGTGAATGTAACCTTAAAAGTAAGCAGTGAAGATTTAAAATCCCCGAAACATTAGACATGTTCGCTAACTCGTCCGGCGCCAACACGCGCCAGTTGCGCTTGTAACAGTACCACGTTATGTAGTGTGTAAAAAATATTGTGATAAATGCAAACATGCGTGATGCTGTAAGGTATACACGAGATAAGAAGCAAAGTGATAATAGTTAATACAGTTAAGATAACGAAAGCCGCAAGTGATATTGTCGTTAATTCAAGGTATGGCCAGGATATTAAATTATGTTTAAATTGTACTTTCAACTACAATAACTTTAATAATGACGCTAGATTTAATACGAGTGCGATCGTGAAGTTGACTAATAATTAATGTTTTAATGAAGATAAATTAGGCCTTACCGTATTTGATATTCCGTCTAGAATTAAGATCGTATTGATTTTGCTAACAATTTGTGATATAAAATATTAATCACGCTACACGTGCACGCCGAGCATAACCAAAACCGCAATAACAAAATATAAGAAAGCCAATTATGTATATTGACCTTTTATTACTCGTGAAAATATATTTGCGTATTAAACAGTTCTGACATCGGGTATACCTTTAACTATACATTAGAAAATTACATAGGTATAATGTTAGAAGAGGTGGCGTGGCCATGTAGAACAGATGATTGAAAAGCGGTTAACAAGTAGGATATACATGACAACCTTATCTGATGAAGTCGGGTTGGGTAGACCTTGCCATACATACAGGAGGTAGTAGAGAAGGGAAAAGTACCCATAACCGACGAGCGTCATGAAAGTGGATGAAGTGATAGAGGAATGTCAACAAAGCGTGATGATATAAAAAAATTATAGAAGATGAATGCTAATAATGATCATAAAAACATTTCGGGTTTTTAGGGTGTTACAGGACTATGCATTAATTATTATCAATGTCTATATGTGAGATATAAAAAAAATATGTTATTTAATATGTAAAGAATGTTGCCCACAAACTGGATTAACTGAATAAAAATTATCTGAAAACAATCTTCACCCTGCCTATATCTAAATACTTTGGCGTTTAGAACATGTTCCGCTGTTGTTTCAAAATATTAATTCACTCATATAACTATGAGTAATATAATGATCATGCAAATTAAGTTATTTATGTAATGTTGTAACATAATAGGTGAATTTCGTTTAAATATCGCTTATGACTCACATCTCGATAACTTAATATGAATTTTAAATGAACAGCCTCTCCATCTAAATGTATTTAAGTATGAGGCACCTGTAATTCAGCTCTCAAATTAACTCTAACTTGGAAATCATCACCTGGCTCACTTGGTTCTTTATGTTTACAGGTTCCGCCTTTAAACTCACTTCATAATAATATTATGAAGCAAGATGAAGTGCCTCAAGGTATGGAAGTACCGAAGAAGGATTGTTACACTTATCGAAGCTTAACTACGAATTATTCTTCTAGTTCCTCGAACGATCAGGTAAACAATAATGAATCTTACCTAGACCAAAATTTCATAGGTAATTCATCTAGTTTTAATAAATATGCCAGATATTTATGAAGCTCGAAACAAATAATTCTTTACAGCCTCATTCAACTTTCAACACCATCACAAACCAGCGACTACAAAGTTCATCACAACGAGCTAGTTCATTGAAGTCACATTTATCGGAATTAAAGAGTTCAATATCAGAAATGAAAAACCTAAGCAACACTAACAGTCTGGAATTTGAGCAAAGGTATTGCAACTTTACTTATAAAAACTTTTTCAACATAATACAGGAGATCAGCCAATTTGAATACACTTCTTTGTTTCAGTATACTTCATTAATAATAATAGCCTTTTATTTCAGATACTTTTACACTTAAACACATTTATATTCCTATCAGCTCATTCTTTTTAAATATCTCTGCGCTCTTTCATGGCAAATCCTCATTCCTATTTGTACTGTGCCACTCTCTGCCGCGTACCATCTCCTGTACCTTAATCTGGTCTATCCACCTTCTAAATTGTCTTCTCCTATTACATTACCTTGGACATCAGTTTAGTACTATCTTGCTCCACTTTTCTGTTCCTGTTGCCATGTGAATGATATGTGTGTAGAATGTGATACTTCATTATAAACACATAATAGATAAGATAAAGAGATATTTTTCATACACAATATTTATCTGACGACGCTGTAATATTTTCCGATTACAGATTTAAGAAATCCATGGAAGACATCTTAGAAAAGGATAAAATAAATGAAAAGACATCTATTAAGAATGATTATAATAATTTTAAAGTAAATCGGCTAGACAATATAAGCGAACCATATAGTAAACTATGTCAAAAATACTTGAACGAAAGAGAGAATGATTTAAAATATAGTGCAGTTCGAACCACATCAGCCAGCTCCACAAGCCTTGTGACGGATGGGTTTATCGCATCGAAATCGGCAGCGAATAGTTCTCGGTCCAGACATATGCAACACGGGGACGTTTTGTACTCAGACCAAAGTGCCGTCGGTGCAACGAAACGGCTTCTACAGGCTGAAAGCCTCACTGCTGAACAAAACTCTGCCTATCAACAAGTATGTGCGCTTTTGATTCTAGAAGTTGGATAGTGCTTTTAATTCAATTTGAAGGTTTTAAGGCGTATCTTGACCCATGGTATGGATTTAACAGGTTAAAAGGCTAACAGCGGTAGTATCTCTTTTAAACATTAACCGCCCTGTTGTACACAAACAATATAAAAATAAAAACAAACATGACCCCAAGGCGCCTTACAGTCGAAGGACATGACGTCGCGTGGCACAGGTCGATCAATAGTATCCTAAGTGACGTCACAACTGCAAACCTTTCAGTGATCAGTCTACTTTGGCTCCTTGCCGTAACAACACTTTATTATGTTATCTGTGTTTAAACACGTGCGTTTTAAACTAAAATAATGACTGCAAAATTAGTTAATTGGACGACGAAGATCTTACGCCGGGGAGGTTCGCCTGGCTCGGTGAGGTGATTTTTGATAAAGGTTCTATATAAGTATATACAAGAAATCCTTTTATTTATACAGGGTTATTGGTAAGTCAAATGATTTATTCATAAAGGTAACACAATGGACACTTATGAACGTCTAAAGAAAATTTATATATACATATATGGAATGCTTCTAATTTTACATTTACTGCCCATTCTCAAATCAAGGGCGTAGAACGGTAGAGAAGAACTGGCAATAAACTCTCCGCCACTCTCTTTATTCGCCACGTTTTTTGTTTTATGTAATTCGACGTATTCCCGTTAGAAGGTAATAGGGGTGACTATTTGTGATAATTTTATTTTTGCATTATGCAAAATTATCAATTTAAATCGCATTCTTGCTTCTGATTATTAAAAACGGTTGAACACTGGTTTCAATGTTAAAACAACAATTATCGGTTTGAATGTAAGAATGCGATATTTGAGATTTTTTTCCACAAAGATGGCTTAAAAACAAAAAATACGCTACAAAATTTGGCTTGCAGATAATTTTAAAAAAACACAATCTTTACTTAGCTGTCTAACAATGTATAAAAACTAGGAATTTTATTAAAACACCCAATGAAAATAAAAACAAAATATACAAATTCAAAATAAAATTTAGCCATTTTTCTAATCTTTGGATAGGACGACGAGGACGTGCCCCGTCCCCGTGGCCTGCGAGAAGTCCGGACATAATCATCCGCCGCTCGATTTCTATGTCTGGGCATAAGTGTAATATTTAATAACATACGTATGTCAATAATAAAAAAAAAATCAAACGTTTAGTTACATTTGTAACAAAAATAACACATCCTTCCAGAACACTTATAGTACTTATATAAGACCGGCCTTCTATAAGAGCGGCGTGTGTACACAAACATTAAAATATCTTCATATCCCCGCGCGATTGGCCTATATCCAATAACATACCTAGTTATTAGTCAGTACATAATCTGAGCCGTGACGCGCGGTGTCTTTTGATGCAAATAAAAACCGGCCCAATCGAACTCCTTCAAGTGACTACCTTTCAAACACATACCATGTATACAAAACGACGTGCAAGGCCTAATTTGCGTATAATTATACCAGTAAATATATTTTCGTGTAGTCTATATTGTGAAGTTAGCATGTGATGTGATTAATATAGAGCTTTTTATAGGAAAGGCGAACGCTTCAGACCGCTGAAACGAACACCCAAGAAGCGAACAATGTGTCAACAAGCACTTCTCGGCTGCACACCGATGCCTTCAGCGCGGAAAGAACAGGCACGGCTACTTCACAAGCCAGACAAACAGTCAGTTCCAGTGGTATATACAGTCACAAGGAACATGCGAGTGTAGCACATTCCAATATGTCTTTATCGAGTAAAAACATTTCAACATCATCAGTGCTGTCGTCGCAGGTATTTTTGATTATATCGCTTGAAAATTTTCTTATTTGTGTATTATGCATTATAAAATCTTGTATTGTGTTGCAGATAGATGAAATTTTGAACGGAACCAACAAAGCAAATAGCTGTGATCTACTGAGTTTAAACTTTAACGATCTCGAAGAACTAAACTGCCATTCGAGCCAGAAAGATATTGAAATAGCAATTCAAAAATATAAAAAAAGAATGTGTGCTTCAATATCTGCGATCAAAAACGAAGACATGGACACTAATACAGCATCGTTGCACTTTAACAAAATAAATGAGATGCTTAGAAGGGCGTGGGCTGTACCAACACACGGGCACGAACTAGGAAATTCATTATGCAATATATTGCGTACTTCTGGCGGCCTTGATGTACTAATGGAAAATTGTATGGAATCTAAAAACCCAGAGCGGCAATTCGCCTCAGCTAAAATTCTCGAGCAATGCCTTACCACCGAAAACAGAGAGTATGTAGTGAAAAATGGCTTAGGAAAGGTTGTAAATGCAGTTGTATGTGTGTGTACGAAAAATGCGAACTTAGTAGATTACTCAAGAGTAGGCACTGGAATTTTACAACATTTATTTAAACACAGCGAAGCAACGTGTAGTGACGTCATTAAATTAGGAGGATTGGATGCAGTCTTATTTGAATGTAGGAAAAACGACATCGAGACGTTAAGGCACTGCGCAACAGCCTTAGCCAACCTTTCGCTGTATGGTGGTGCTGAAAATCAAGAAGCTATGATAAAAAGAAAAGTTCCTATGTGGTTATTTCCTTTAGCGTTCCACAACGACGACAATATTAAATACTACGCATGTTTAGCTATTGCTGTTTTAGTTGCCAATAAAGAAATTGAAGCTGCTGTTCTAAAATCAGGCACATTGGAGCTTGTCGAGCCGTTCGTCACATCACATAATCCATCCGAGTTTGCTCGGTCAAACCTCGCACATGCTCATGGACAAAGTAAAACGTGGTTGCAAAAGCTCGTGCCTGTTCTGAGTTCTAAGAGAGAGGAGGCACGAAACCTAGCAGCTTTTCATTTCTGTATGGAGGCAGGTATTAAAAAGCAACAGTGTAAAACGGAAATATTCAGAGAAATTGGCGCAATAGAGCCACTCAAAAAGGTGGCCAGTTGTCCTAATGCAATTGCATCTAAGTTCGCTGCACAAGCATTAAGATTTATAGGTGAAGAAGTACCGCACAAGCTATCACAACAAGTGCCACTTTGGTCGATTGAAGATGTAAAGGAGTGGGTTAAACAAATAGGATTTATTGAATATGCCAATGAGTTTTACCAGAGTAAGGTAGATGGCGACCTACTATTACAAATTACAGAAGAGAACCTGCGAGACGACATTGGACTGACTAATGGAATCAAACGTAAAAGGTAAAAGCAGTCGTATCGTGTATAGTTGTGCAATTTGAAGATTTTGTTAATATCATATGAATTTTATTTTAGATTTGCAAGAGAATTACAACAGTTGAAAAAAATGGCAGATTACAGCTTGCGAGATACATGTAGTCTTCATGAATTTCTGCAAAGCATTGGGCCTGAGTATACTATTTACACTTATTCAATGTTAAATGCTGGTGTAGACAAGAAATCTATTTTTGGTTTGAGTGACGAACAACTTGAAAATGAGTGCTACATAAAGAACAGTATACATAGATTAAGAATATTGAATGCTATTAGAGGTAAACCTAATTTTTACAAAACATAACTTCACAAACCTTGTATGTATATTTCACAATTGTTTTCATATGTATAACATATTTGTATCGGACTATGCTTAAACCTGATATTGCTTTTTAACCTATTTCCTATTACACTATTAATAAAAAAGTTGCACTGCCAAGATCATTGCAATGCAGATTTAGGAGCTACTTGTGGCTTGTGGCTTGGAATTGTTTTGATGAAAATGTGATCTATTAACAGGAAGAGGATAAAACTTGCAGCTTAGGTAGGCCTAGTTGGGCACTGTCATGTTTTGTTTTATAAATAAGTATTCACTCCGCACTACTTTTATATTAAATCTTTTTGCAGATTATGAAAGTCGATTACCAAGTTTAGAAGAAGATAATATGGTAAAAAACTTAGATGTTTTTATAAGTTACCGAAGATCAAATGGTTCACAATTAGCAAGTTTACTTAAAGTCCATCTAAATTTACGTGGATTTACCATTTTCATTGATGTAGAAAGACTAGAGGCTGGAAAATTTGAGAATTTGCTCCAGAGCATTAGACAAGCTAAACATTTTTTGTTAGTTCTCACTCCAAATGCTCTAGACAAATGCATGCATGATTCCGAACAAAAGGATTGGTTACATCGTGTAAGTGATATAGAACAATGTTTAAATAGACAAAAATAAATAATAGACTCAAAACACTACAAAAGCGAATTTAATAAAACCAAACGTAAATTTTTATTTAGAACTATGCAGTACCAAAATAATTTTTACAAAAATTACTTACAGGAAATCGTCGCCGCCTTGCAGTCGCAATGCAATATCGTCCCAATAATCGACAACTTCGAATTTCCTGAGCCAGAGGACTTGCCAGAAGATATGAGAGCTGTATGTCATTTCAATGCAGTGAGATGGATCCATGACTATCAAGATGCATGTGTTGAAAAACTGGAAAGGTATACATAAATTAAGGTGACATTTTCAACCGTCTCGGTACAGCTTAATTAAAATAATGTTAATTGTGTATCGAGATAAACAAACTTTTCATATCAATTAGGTAAACAATTGAAAATACATAATAAAGTATTTCTACTTTGTTTAGATTTGGTAACATAAGATTCAATTTGTTGCAGTTTTCTCAGAGGCAAGTCAAATCTTGCTACAAGACTGGAAGGATCTCTTAGAGGACCAGTATCTATCCAGACTCCATGTGCAGCATTAAATAGGGGTCCTCCAAACTTTCAGCAAAATATGCAGTTGACAGAATGTGACTCATTTGAAAAATGAACCCAATATCTTACTTATGTTATTGTACCATATTTCTGAGTTTATGAGCTGGCAGATTTTAACTTTTGGACTTATTTCCCTTCTGTACCTTGAATTTTGGTACAATTAGGGTTTTGTATGTCAGAAATAAGACATTTTTATAGTTATTATAATTATTGTCAAACACTTGTTATATAATGATACAACATTATATAACAAGTGTTTGAAGTCAAAATAATGTATATAATATTTAAATGTACCTATTTTATTTTATGCAATACATATGGCAATAATTTTACTATAGCTTAAGTGCCACAGTTTGCTATTCGTTATAGCATGGCAAATCGCTTTTTTATTAAAGAATATATAGTGCCTTAGTGTACAAAGTCATTAAATTGGTTACAATGTACATTTTGGAATTATACACATTGACAATTTATATAATTCCAAAATATGAATCTCTACAATAGCAACAAGATCACCAAGTACAAAATTAAGTAGAAAACAAGTGTCATAATACTTCTTAAGAGGCTTTAAAAATTAAATGTATCAACATCTTTAAATATTGCTTTATTTATGAACTCTGTCCCATTACCAAAATATATAAATATAAGTTAATAATTGCAGGCATTGCTTAGATTTGACGTAGATTAAAAAGAATTAACAGTATGCAGTTTTAAGCAAATTTTATAAGCAATATCTAAAATGAAAATATTTTATGGTTATAATAAAAAAATCTTTAATAATATACACAGTACAGTGTGAAATATTATATTACCTTATCAAATATTATGAACTTTTTGTCATAGTTGAGGTATATTCACTTGGATAGAAAATGAACACTCATTGCAATCAACAACAACAGATGGTGGATTAGCATCACTCATTTCTAAAAAGTACAATCCACTACAGCGACAGGGGTATGAATATCCACATTCAGTTTCGTCAAAAGTCATCTCTGATAACGATAAAGTTTCGAACAGTAAGAGGTTAGAATGGTCGTGGCATACTAATAATGCATCGAACTGCTTTCTACTTTCAGGATCTCTGAGAACTGACCAGGCTTTCTGCAGTAGTAAAAACTTTTCGTCGTTTTGCTTGTTTTCATTTCTATCAGGATGCAAAAGCAAAGCTAGTCTCTGATAATTCTTTTTGAGCTCATCGTAACTAGCGGCCCTGTCACATTCTAAGATTTCATAATAGTCAACAATATCTTCACACATATTTTTAGTAATTCAACAGTTTATATATTTAATTCTTGTTACTTTTGATCGTCATTAAGAATAATATGAAATTTAAATAAGTAAACAAGACTTTGTTTTGGGCTTTGGCACTTGGCAGGACAAATTTTTTACACTTTCGTATTATTTTCCTCTGACATTTGACAATTGACAGCTATGAATGTGTGTCTAGATTCTACACCTTCGACCTTTGAATTCGTACAATGATTATTATGTTATTAATATTGACGTAGGGAAAGCACATTTGCTGTAAGTAGACATATTGCAATTGTTCACCAGAGCCAAAAAACTTTATTAATTTCGGAAAAAAATTAATAGTGTCTGATCTATCCATGATATTGCTACCATTTTTGAAACATATATTTATTTAACTGCCAGTCACCATTTGCAATGTAAACTTTTTATCCAAAGTTACTATAAGTACGTGTTTGGCTAGTTACAGCAAACAGTTTTTAAATCACAAACCTTTAAAACGCTGTAACTAAGGAAGAAAAATGTACGCGCGGAAATATTATCAAATTACAGGCGGTAAATATGCTGTATGCAGTAAATTTATGTATTTGGGTACTTTCAATTGCAATTCAAGATGTAAGATTAGTTTATAATTATGATTAGATCTAGAAATGCAGTGGGTCATTTGGTAATGTAATGTTCGGTTGAAATAAAATGTCGTAAATGGTAAAAAACACTAAAACTGTAGGTTCCCTAGCTTGCTGTAAGTAAATGAATGTAAAAATCACACGCCGCTGAAATGCTGTAAGTAGCGTTAAGTTTTTAAATGGGAAGAAGTAAGTATTTGTAAAGAAAAAATGCAGATTTTCTTTTGCTGTAAGTGCAAAATGTCTGAAATGACTAGATTTTTGGTCTACATACAGCATTTAATCTTGCTAAAAATAATATAAGTACGGGCGTTTTCAACGGCGTATGTAATTTTTTTTTCATCGTAGAGACACAGGACCCAGGTCATTCGATGCGGCTTTTTTCTGATTCTAATGGCAGGAAAAAAGTCACTTTAGGTATTTTGTCTACTTACAGCAAATATGCTTTCCTACGTCGATATTGATAATCAATACGTGTTACATACACAATTGTTAATATATTAAGAATATACCAATTAAATACAAAAAATTAAAGGGAGTTCGAAATATCCACAGATTATGACGCAAAAACCCGCGGTTTTATCGTAAATATGAATTCTCAATTATTGGTTGGTTATTATTTCAATTTTATTAATATATTAATTAAATCTACAACAATAATTTTGCATGTATTACGTAAAGTGAAGTGAAAAAGTATAATCTGACTGAAACATATTATAAGATCATTTATAGAAAAGTTTGGTTCAAATTGGTTGTTACTTTCATATGAATTTTCTTACTTGTTATGCCATATCAAAAAACTATTTTATTTATACTAATTGTCTTTGGTACTAGTAAGATTACTATCTACAACAACTATTTTCTTTACGTGTTTGAAGATCATATATCTCAGTCATGCGTTGTGGTTAGCGATAAAATTTTGATGTATATAGGTCTTTTCCAAAAAGTTATTTTAAATTTTTAGCGACCATTTTAAATAATATGTTGGCAAGCATGTTTAAAGAGAAAGTTGTCTACCTAAAGCACCTACGCTTCTTCATCGTAGTACGTTCAAAATCGGCGGCTGACATTGGGTTCCATTCACTTGTAAGCTTTACAACTCACGTGTTCTGCATTAAGTAATAAAATTCAAATCATAGTTCTAAGTAAACCATCTTTGGTGGGGTTGTACAAATGAAGCTTACAATGAATGGTGCAAGATCCGTGACTGAGATGTGCTCAACGTTGCCTATCATATAGTATATCAGTTTGCCTCTCCCGTCCTTGTTATTTGATACCGTTATTCGATATAGTGAACATACAGTAAAGTTACATGTAGGCGGGATAATTAGCCTTCTCAGTCGAGCACGTGGTTCTTAGTGATACAGACGCAGCGATAACTCAGTTATGCGTCGAAGGGACTCCATGCACAGTCCTGGGAGTGGACGAAGTCTAATTGCGACCAGAACGAGCCAGCAGCAGAGAAGATTGCACGGCAAAAGCAATTTGCCAAGAAGCTACTCATCGCCAGCGTCAGAAGGTGAACAAGATCAACAAAATAAATATGTAAGAAGTTTTTCGTCACCGGAAGAAAAGTCAAAGGAAACTCATGGATCATTTTGCCAACCAAAATTCTATAGTTCGAGAAGTGAAATAGATTCAGACCAAGAAACCTTTGAGCAGCTTGACGATAGCTTCTTGGATATCGATGCTGATATTGAAGAGTCGTTCCGGCAATTTGAAAGGAGCTCTGATGTAGAAGAACCTAAAAGAGTGGTAACCACTCTATTACCGGGAAATGGTCTCCAGAAGGTTAAAATTAAACCTATTCATAGGAAACAATTGCCTGAAACTAGTGTCACGCAATCGCTTAAAAACACGCCTAAAGAAAGAGCAAAAGGTAAATCTTATTTTAGCCTGTGATTATTAAGGTACCTAAATATGTAAAACTCAACTATATTGGAACTTGACTTATTCAGGATACATGCTAAGATTACTTTCCACTTTGTTATTTGACAACACGTACCGTTTTATTTAGGTGCCAACCTAATGAACCGAAGACATAGAACTGTAATTTATAAATAACAATTATTATAATGTAATAAATAATTATTATTTATGTAATAAAAATAACACATAGGTTAATGGTACTATTTTAATCTTTAACTTTAATCTCCAGGTATCGCACGGTTTCATTTCCGACCTCTGATAGTGAGGATTCCGTCGCAAGTCATCCCAATCGAAGCCACACCAGCGACATTAGATGAACTGCAAACTTCTCCTCCTCTAGAGTCGGAGGTTGCAGAGATAGAAAGGGAGATGGCGGATGCTGAGTTTCTTCTTAATAAAGGCGCCACTATTGCACTACAGGAGAGCGATACAGATACTGTGAGTATTCGACTATAATATCTCTATTATTTATAGCTCCATAATTCTAAGTCCGTATAATTTAAATAAACGCCATTATCAAATATTCATTGTATATTTACACTTCTGAAATTGTCCCGTATACTTAGATTATATTTTGACAGTACGATACCCTCGTCAATTTGTAATCGTTGATTTTACTTACACTAGTCTATTTATCTCAAACTTATTTACTAATTTAGAACGTAAAGAACTTCTTTATAGCCAAATGCTTGGAATTCCCCATAGAAATCGTAGCTGTATCAATAAATACTTAAATCGGGCTAATTATGGCGCCAGCGGGCCGCGCGTTTTGTTCATGGCTTCTACATAGTTTCAGTCGGTTTCTGATTAGGAATTATATTTGGCCTGTTATAATTAACCAAAGTGTAGTAATTTACGAAATGAGAATCAAGGAATTAGAATTTGATTACTTTTCGATAAGAAGTTGTATAAACATTTTACTTTCATTTGATTTTTATTTTAGTTACTACACAATTATTAGATCTTAATACTTACTCTTCTAAACTTCTAATACCACTTTGAACGATTGACATTTATTATTTTCTGAAAGTCCGTCCATCTCAAATGAAAATTGTTCAATATAACTCTCAAACTCCCCATTCAGAATAAGGTTATATATTGACATTTAGTCGTGGCCTGAAAAGTTGCACGTTGACGTGAAAGGTGGAAAGCTTAAAGCTCGCCGCTTGCCCCAGATTAAAATCTGGGTATACCGTCTCATCAGAGGTTGGGTTTCGACATTCGGCACTTGACAGCCACGCTGACCTAAATTTCATTTCACTTACAACTCTGAGACTGAATGTATTTGGTTACTTCTATACAAATACGTTTACAGACTAATAAAATATGTAATCGCAGCTTAGTAAATAAGTTGTCTCGTAATATAAATATTATATATCTATTTTATACATCATACGTATTTTTATAAGGTTTACAATATATAAATGTAAATGCACAGTGTTGCATCGCACGTGCCTAACATGACTCCTGACAGTGCAGCAGTTAGTAATTACTATTACAACCAGACTGCATGTTATAATTTTAATTTAAACTCGGGTTGCGCTTTAGTACGCTGATAAAGAATACAAGTATTTTTAATTGTTTACATTTTCCATCGGCTACACGCAGTTACTGTTGCCCCTGGCAGCTTAGTGTAAACAATGTCGATCGATCCACGTAATCTTTGCTATGTAAGGTCAAATCTTTGTAAGGGACTGGTTGTCGCGGTATACAGATCAGCTGTAGAGTGGACTTTTGAGATGTTCGGTTGACCAGAAAGAACAATAAGTACCTTGACCTTGCGGAGCGGGGGCCGGGGCACGCGATGACGCCAGCGCGGCCGGCACGCGCTTCGGCTTTCGGGTGCGATCTTTCGTGGACGCTATCCGCGTAATTGGTAAACGCGGGCAAAAGTTTTTCGGGGAAAATATCGAGACGCGGCAATCGCGAAAATCTCATTCTGTGTGCCGGCGCCGACACCGACGCGCTTCGAACGAACGACCAAACGACTCCCGCCGACCGAGCAATCGCGATATGCTCGAATCCCGAAATGGGTAATGTGCAGTGCTGCGCCAGTGATCGTCTTCTCAAAGGCAAAACCAAGAAGCCCAAAAGCAAAAAGAAGAGCAAGAAAAAAGAAAAGAGTAGCTCCAAGATTAACGGGAACGCTGCAGGTGGAAAAACTGAAGTTCCAAAGAGTGTCGAGTCCGAAAAAGCCAGTGCCCGAAAAACTGTTGAACAATCCGAAAACAACATTAATAAAGAGGAGGTCAAAACAGAAGATTCAAAAATGACACAGCCGTCACCCGTGGAAGTGTCAAACGACGAGTCCCCTCGCAGCGAGAGCACGGCATCTGCGAGGGAGAGATTTTTCGGACAGGTAAAGATTTTATATACAAACGAAACGTAGTCGCCGGAACGAGTTAATCTCCTTATCGTAGCGGAACCAATCAACCCGCCTCACTAAAACCAAAGACTACTTACATGAGCTGTTTTACATCAGCGGTTATCACTTTAGCCTAATGCGTTTGTAATCTCGAACCCTTATGATCTCAATGTTTACAAAAGTAATTTAAAAAGCCTGTACTTCTCAATGATAGTATATAAAAACTTTTTACATTACAAACTCAGAATAGTCAACATTATTGTGTGCGTATGTTAATGAGACAAACGCGTTACACGTATATACTTAGTTATGTACTCAATAGTGTGATGTCTTTTAATATGTTTAAAAAAAACACACGACTCATAATTAAACATAGACAGTTGTTATGGTGAAGGATTATTTTTTATTATAATTTGATGGCCTATTGGTTTAATAAAATTACATATTTTGTAGTGATACAGGTTTTCTGTGATGATCTAATGTGCATTGATTGTTGTCAAGGATTTTCTAATATCAATGTTGTGTTGATTTAATTATAATTTGATACTGGTGACCCGTGTTAAGAATATTTAAACTATAAGCTTGTTGCGTCGCTCTCGGGTAGGATTAAAATATAACAAATCAAGGTTGGAATTGTGTAACAAAATGGTCTCTAAGATTTTACGATTTAGGAATTTTAAAGTTGAAATATGAGTGAGTTTATTATGTATTGTGTACTGGACGTAGGTTTAATTAAATATATGACCACGTCTGTATCTAATAATAAGTAGTTATGATTTTGTGACATTCAGTATTATACATCTATTACTAATAAAGATATTTTATGAGAGATAAATAATACTTATCTATGTTTATTAAAATCAGTTGTTAATTTTTGCGTTTAGAACATACTTTATTATTATCGTTTTAATGTTAATAGTTACCCCTATAACCAATTCTGTATATTTGTCACGGTGATAATGAACTACATATAAATTGTATTCTTGCTAAGAAAATAATCTTTTTCAACGAATGAATTCATTGAAGCATGAACAAACTATACAATATCGTACGTAAATACAAAATGCCAAAATTACGAAAGTGTCAGTGACTTCCAAACGTGATATGTTTTAATGAATGCAGCCATGCTTGTTCGGCCTCTTCCATACCCTTTATATTGTTTTATTAACGAGTATATAGGCACGGGAGGCTGATCACCTACTTGCCTATTAGATCGACAAATGATCATAAAACAGATACATAAATCTGAGGCTTAGACCTAAAAAGGTTGTAGCGCCACTGATTATTATTTGCCAGCAAGCAATAATTGTATTTTAATAGAAATCCCAATATTAATGGGCTGCTCGAAATGGCACTAAATATGCGTGTAACATGAATTCAGTAGAATTTTTGAAGTTATACTTCTTTAGGCGCGTTATGAAAAATTTATGAGAGTGAAATTTTACGATGCGCGCGCACCGTGACACAAAATTAGGAGTGTGATTATAGCGTGCGCGAGCGAGATAGGAATAAGACAATCTACAAGTAAAAAGAAATAGAATATGCGTGAAGTTCGTATGCCAAGAATTTTGAATGACCATAATGACATTTGTCATTTACCTTTTAAACAAATAAAGGAGTTTTAATTATTTTTTCAAAGAAATTTAGCATTGCTTTTTGAATTATATATAATCAGAAGTGATTTAAATTGAATATTTAAACCAATACTAATTAATATTTGTGAAAAAACTGTGCTCATCAACCTTCCTAAGTGCTTCATTACAATTGAGGTTAACTATCAGTTTGTATTATTATTATCGAGTAATGTTTTGATTAAAAAAATTACCACATTGTTTAATCAAAACATGTAATTTTTCTCTAGCAAATATAAGGACAAGAGACAAAAAACAATTGATGAATCAGTGTAAGTGCACTAAATTGAATACAAAAAAAGAGTTGTCATCTTATCGCTGTGAAACATCAAAAACTGGAGGTGGAACAAAGCCAAACTATTTTTAATAATGCCAAAGAAGTATAACTTCTTACGCGCGTACATACTCGTAAGTACACGCACCCTTTTTTTTGATTTGATTCCTGTATACCATTGAACGGTTCCCTAGAATCGCCTCCGCTGGTTTTTGGAGTTTATACGTCAGGAAAGTGTTACTCACTTGTTTGAGTCAGCGAGGAAAGTGACCGAGATTATGTTTTCGCTTTTGGAGCGGCTCCAGGCGGTTTCCCGAAATAAATGCGATTCCGAGTTAGCGTAGGATTTTATACGTATTCAAGTGTTTTGTTAATCATTAAAGTTTGTTTTGCGGGTAAACTGTACACAGTAGTACAATAAGATTTTAGTTTACCACGCAAACGAATCAAAACTTGTCAGTAAATTAAATTTTAAAAAATAAATATCTATTTCATACCCGTATGCTTATTTTGTCATAGATTATTTTAAATAGCCACACACCTTCTTCTTAGCATATATTTTATAGCTAATTAGAATCGGATATGCACATTAATTTGTATATTCGATGTTTCTCAATGGATTTTCAATAAAATCAAGGTAATTAATAGTTTATTAATTACACTTGTTTACATGACAAATTTTACTGTCAAAAGCCACTAACAGAATCTAATTTCTTAAAAAAACTTTATAAATTTTCTCACACTTAATGGTTTGCCGTATTGCCATCATTTCCTGTATTTAACTTGCAGGTTACGTATAAGTATATTAATTAAATAGATAGTGCAAACATTAAAATTCAAGGAATTACAATATATTTGTATTATTTAAGTTATTTATAAGAATTTATTGGCCAGCAACCACGTGACTCCGGTGGAGTTAAAAACAAAATTGCATTTTGTAAAAGTAAATTAAAGTCAAATATCTAGCCTTTTTCATAATAAATAATTACCTACCGAATATCATTTTCACAATTTAAAAGCATGTTTTTCACTGATATTTACCTGCTTTATTAGCTACAAAAATGTGTTATCCACATTAAGTGGTCGGTCTGGGTTTGTTGTGTGTTGTGTATGCAATTATTGACTAGTTAAGTTGCGTGTAGTCACCAAGGTCAGCTGTTGTGTTAAGTGATAAGCCACACGTTAACCATTAGGTTATCCATAGCTGGCTCTAATTAGTTAATGAAACACGATTGCAACATTGACAATCAGAGAACATAGCGGAGTTTAACAGCAATAAAGATTAATTACAGTTCAACTAACTAACTAAGGTTTATTATTATTTATTTATTACTTAAGATGTCATGTGGAATATGGTGTAATGGTTGCAATTTGCAGCTCCTTACAAACGTTGTGTTAAACAAAAAACTTGGCGATTAAAGAGTGGCGGAGAGTTTATTGCCAGTTCTTCTCTTCCGTTTTACGCCCTTGATTTGAGAACTGGCAGTAAATGTAAAATCAGAAGCATTTAATATGTATTTCTTTTTTGACGTTCATAAGTGTACATTGTACAAGTGTTACCTAAATGAATTAATTATTTTTAATTTTTTTGACTTAATGTTGAATGACAATTTGATGGACTTATGTAAGTTTTTAAAGAGGTTTTCAACTCAAAAACAAATCATATCTTTTCTTCCGTTACCTAATGCGTTTAAGCCGAAGCTGGTGGATTAATTTCCTGCCAAAAGAATAATGTGATGTTTCGTGTTAATAGGCATAGAGGATCATCTTGTATCTTAAAAATCACCAACTTATAACTGCGAATATAGAAATGCAATGTCAAAAAAGTCATTGCATTTCTCTTTGATATTTCGTTCTCTGAGATATCATCACTAATTTAAATCTCAAAACTTATAAGTCTGTAGAATCTACTCTACTCACTGATGACATCGGACGAATCATATGCTACCAGACTGTTTTATATACTTGATGAGACGCGCCAAAAATGTTTAAAATGCCCATAATGTAAATAGTAAAGTGAAATTTCATCAATTTTGGTTCAGATTTCGAATTGAAACTGGCAAGATCAGTGTTAAACGGACCAGACGACAGTCCAATGGATTTGGTATGTGCGTAATTAAGAATAGCAGGTAAAAATTGCCAGAAAATCACCATATCTAGATGCAAAAATAGTATGTTTAACATTAAAGGCGTATCACCTAAGTTATAGCCTATAAAGAAAATTTAAACAAAAACATGAGAGCTTTGTAGCGCCACTGATTTTTATTGCAATGATGTACAAATTTTACCACGAGTTAGAAAGGATTGAAAAATGATAGCGAGGATGAGAGTCAAGTGAAAGAATTTGGAGTCGTGTACTAATGTTAAACATAAGGACATGGACTTAATGCAATCACGATTATGTAGTACTCGAATAATAAAATAAAAAATCAGTGGCGCTACAACCTCTTTAGGTCGTGGCCTCAGATTTCTGAATCTGTTTCATGATCATTTTTAAATATTATAGGCAAGTAGGTGATCAGCCTTCAGTGTTCGCCACGCCACACACGCCGTCGACTTTTTTGGGTCTAAGACATGTCGGTTTCCTCACGATGTTTTCCTTCACCGTTCGATCAAATGTTAAATGCGCACATAGAAAGAAAGCACCAATGGTGCACAGTCGGGATCGAACCTCAGGTATGAGAGTCGCACGCTGAAGCCACTAGGCCAACACTGCTCTTTAAGTAGGTACTCGAATAAAGACTTTTATTTTATTTTGTTATCTGGGGAGTTATTTACGAATGTAGGTGATCCGATCAATAGCATGTTCTTACCTATACAGATAGTTACGCTTAAAATAACTTTTATAGCAATTCCTGGGAAGTTTTATTGTTTGTTTGATATCATCAACAGTCTATGAGAGCAACAACATACATTTACTAACACTATCTTCGTCAGCTTAGGATAACATTAAATGCCATGGTTAAATATAAATTTATAAGCAAATAGCCAAATGATATGACGTCACAGACGTACAGTTAGCACGTATAGTAAATATATCTTAAAAGTAATGATTCATGGACTAGAAATGATAATCGTGTTTTTGGTAAGCAAATGAGTAGGATCTTTTTATAATCGATGACGTTATTTTTTATAAATATCTGCTGACTTTATCGTTTCGCTATACATCGAAATCGAACAATTACGTTGATATGTTTTTTTTTTATTTAATTAGGTTTAATTCCTAGAAATATTAACGTCACCTAAATTGGTTATACTAAATTAACAGTAAATTTTTCTTGAATTCAAAGCGAACTGGGTCATAACCCGATTCGCGGCTAGTAGGCTGGTAGCGGCCTATTTTAGAAATCTATTTATAAACAATTGAATGAAATAATTATGAATGATATCTTCATATGCATTATGGCGCCAGTTAATTAACCAATTGACTTCCGACCGCGAAATGCGTGTGGTCGTTATGAGTGGAACTAATAAGGTTACGAAGGAGTCTTCTTACAAATTTCTCCGTGGCAATTTCTTTTGTATGAGCGTTTTCTTTCTTAGGGTGAAGGTTTTAGAACCAAAAATCGATGTGTGATAGTCATTTTTACTAAATAATTTTTCTATTCTACTACAGATGCGGATGCACAGAGGGTTTTTATATCTAAGCGACGTAAGCTAACTATGAATATATTTATAGTTTTTATTTTTACCAATACTTAAAAAAACTATTAAAAATAAGCAAAACATTGAAGGTTATCGTTCTGTTTACGTAAAAACAAATATCCATTTTACACGCCTGTCCCACGGGCCACGTTTGTGCTGAAGCTGATCGTTTAATGGCCCTTTTAATTTGTGTCGAATTTACAATACACTGTGATGAACAATGATTCCGTGGACACTTTTTAGCAACTCCAATTTCGTTAGTCCTTATTTTAACAGGTGTCCTGTTTGAGAGCCAAAATAAAATCAAAATAAATAATTGTATAAACTGTTTAACCCTAGAAACAATCTCGACCATTGTCAGTTCAACAGTTGTTCAGTTCCTACTAAATATAAGTTTGACGGCATAAAATACGGGCCCCAATCCAGCTAGAACTATTTTATGATTGCAGGGCGTAATTTAAGAGCGGTAATTTGGTACGATCTTGTAATTTACTGATAAGCATGCCAAATGTGAGGATGTGATGTCTGCGGAGGTCGTTGCCTCACAGTCTCTACTCGGCTTGACACTATCATATTACTTCTTTATTTAATTTCCCATTGCGAGTGACGTATCCTTGTTTTGCGTAACAGCATCCGAATTCCGACGACTTCTTTTAAAACCACGTTTGGTAACATTTCAAAGAATCATAACTTCTTAGAAGTAATTGTATTATAAATTCACGAATCCTTAAAGATTTAGCGATAAACGCCAAACCAACCTTTCATGAATACGGGCTACGCATTAACGTCAAAAAAATAAATAATCATAAATTAACATTTAACGATACAACATATACGACCTCAATCACTAAGTCAAGAGTAGCATACAGTAAGGTGTATAGTATTCATACCTGAAAAAATACAATGAGCAAGCCACTGATAAGGACATTTGCGCATTTTTTTCTTAAGGAGTTTTTAAAGTTATCAAAATAAAAAATAGCCACATCAAAATAGCACGTTTATGTACCAATTAAATAAAAAATTGATAAATTACACTTGTGATATATGGAGGAAATTTCTAGTGATGAACTAGACTTTAGTTAACAAAGTGGTGCGTAGATTAAGCTAATATTGCGACATTTGACATTCAAGAACAACATGAACCTTGTATGGTAAATAATTACAACAATGTCTTCTTTGTTAATGCGCCGGCGCCGCCTTGACGCATTCCTTCTGTTGAATAAACTGTAAAATTTTCTATTTATTCAAGAAATAATTGGAATAATATCGTGATATGCAGTGATAAAGGCAGTTTGTATAGTTTCTAGGAAACTACGACACGATACTATGTCAGTAAAATTCGAAAAGGAATATTATTTTGCGGAAAATACGAAACTTCTGGAGCGGCAATCTGTTTCCACCGGTTTCTGTCAAGCGTCTCACTTATTACAGTGTATAGTTTTGAGGACGATGAGTCTCACTTGATCCAGCTGCTTGGTGAACGGCCACGTGATCTTTTGCCTTCTGTGTTACCAACCACTAAGTCCATAAATACGTAAAAAAATATATTTTACGAATTGAGTGTATTTATTATGTCCATGTATATTGTTGTTTTGCTACTAGACATGGTTTGGTATGGTTTGTGGACTCGTTTTCCGCACTTTGACGCTCATTAGGTCCGTTGTACGTAACCGTCCGTTGTGCTACTAGACATATTAAA